AAAGTTTAGGTACTTGCTGAAATCTCTGAATGTCCTGTGTTCGATACTTGATAGGTCTATGAAACATCGCCCTCAAATGCTCCGGCACGGTCGAGAGTCTACTCTCCCTCTCGAAATGTTCTCACATGGACATGCGTATACAGTCACTGTCAGGGAAGTCCTGCTCACTATTTTCTCGCTGCTAGATTGTTGTTCATGAAATTAAGAAGACCAAAACCGAATATTCAGGGCTTAAACCGGGTGAATGGGTACGAAGGATTCGCTTAGGAGATTCGGAAAACCCTGATGTACAAAGACTTCAGGATCCTGAGGAAACAAAAAGCGTATGAACCTATTGTTAGTCACTGACAACCACTGAACTGCATCTCCTAACGTTGCTACAATACTTTGCGGATTAGACCTTTAGGTCAAAGGCTCGAGGGGTGGCAACCTAAGAAAACCACCCGCTTACGTTTCAGCACCCAGGTAGTATCTTAGATCACACACAAAACGAATGATGATTACAACTGGCAAGAATTATTTTCGCTCCGATTCGAATTCAAATGAACCGCATTTGCAATCAAGTTTTTATTTTTTTACATCCATACTCAGGACTCTGGTGAAGTACTAAAAAATCACTCTTCATCAGTCGCTTTTAAAAGCTTGTTCCGCTTGAGTTATTCGAACAGTTTAACTGGTTCGCTGCCCCTACGACATCGATCACACTGTCCTACTCTCCAGGCCTATGACGACTGAACTATCTAGCAAGATGGAGGTCCGCCAGGAACTTCAACTACCGACCAAGATTGATATACTTATCAACCGACTTAACATACTTACCTAGCGAACTATACTTAATTTCAATGTAAACGATTGAGCAATCTAGTGTTTTTTAGGTCCCTATCTATTTAATTGAACAATTTTTGTCTTATACACTTAACTTACGCTGTTATCCTTCGTGAAGGACTATTGGCCACCAACCACGATCTCCGACGAACTCTATCCTGGGTAATCCTTCCCAGTTGCTGTTTATTATTTTCATGTCTCCTTCCAATTCCTGATGCAATATGTTTCTTGGTCTTCCTCCTTTCCGTTCCCCTTCAGGATTCCAAGCTAGAGCTTGCCTCGCGATGTCGATTTCAACAATGTATATCCTATGCACTAACGACGTATTTTCCTAATTCCCTCTTCTGTTGGAATCTGGTTTGTTCTCTCCAACAGTAAACTGTTACTAATGGTATCTGGTGAACTGACGTATAGTATCTTGAGTAGACAATTGTGTTATAACTTGTGACTGCAGATTAGACGGCAGTGAGTTATCGATCGGACCAAAGACGCGTAAACACGTGCGAGCGACCTAGAGTTGATTAGCCGTGCTTCCTTGTCTAGCCCAGCCAGTTTAGTCCAGAACGCAAGTCTCAGCCTCTGAGGTATGAATCGTTATATTTCAAACATACTCTGTTTATATACCAGTCAAGCATACCACATCGTATCATAAAATAGAAAATAACATTTGTACAATATTTGGTCAAAAGGAAAATGACACGTGAAATAAGTATTGACAAGTAGGAAAAATGATACCATCTCAAGTCCAACGATAGCGTTAGACTTAACAGAATAATTTTTGGGATATTTTCCTGAATATTCCAACAAATTGTTTATCAATATTTGTACATTTTTGATGATGTTTGTCGTAGTTATTCACGTTTCATCAGCGTACAGTAGAACTGTCTTGATGTTCGTATTGAAGATTCTGACTTTAATGTTGGTTGACAGACAATTGTTTTTAAGTTCCATATGTTCTTCAATTGCAGGAATGTTGTACTAACTTTATCAATGCTTACCTTCACATGTGCATCAGATCCTCGTATTTTATCAATGATACTCACCAAGTATGTTAAGTTTTCCATCTGTTCCAATGTTAATGTTATAAAATCTACAAATGAATCATTTATACATCGCATCGATTCATTTACTTTTTCATTTTTAATTATTATGAAAAATACTTTACATACCATTTTCATTTAATAAGATACAAAAGACATGAATAATTTAATAGATCATAATCATATGCTTCATTTCGAATCATTATTAATTTTCATTACTATAATAAAATGTTATAGAAAATTTTCTCTTTGAAGTTAATAATCATTTCTATGATTAAGTAACAATTTTTCTTCTTTTTAAAATAATTCACAATTATTTGGCACACATATTACTCAAAGTTGAATAAACCTATAAACAATTGTTTTCTATAGTTACAATTCATATGGAATGTATTATATAAAAAAATGATTGATTCACTGTCATTGGATCAAGTTAATTATCATTTATCATAGTCTTTCTCTCTCTGTGTGTGTTTCAATATTCATTTTCGAAATAAGTAGAATACAATATTAGAAAATACATGTAAGTAATATCATTGTATTAAACATTATCATATATGAAACATTAAAAGAGAATACTTTCTTATAAAGTATAAAGTAATAATAAAATACACAGAATATACGGTCTCAACATTTATTCATAATTCACTATTATTATTATTATTATTCTTGTTATTCTCTTTCTATGGATAATTGCAGTTTAAATTTAAGAATTAGCGCCAGTTATTCATTTTTTTAAAAAAATACTATTAGTGTATTTAAACAATACAAACTAATATACTATTTCATTTATATTCTAAACATAAGTTTATGAATATTGTAGAATTGTAGATAAATATTAGAGTAGTATAAATGATCTATAAATTTCGAAAGGAAAAATAAAACACAATAATTAATTAATATTTGAATAAAAATAGTTCTTATCATGAACTGATATCTAACTGAAGGATCAATTAAAAGCCAGAGATAAGTGAAGTATTATTTCAATCAAGTTTAAAATTCTTATATATTACTCAACATTAATTGAATAACAGATTTGACCTAAATTATCCAAGTCATAAGATAGAGAATAATAATAATAACAGTCATTGTTGAACAATGAATAGTTGTATAGCTCAGGTTGGTGATGATCTTGGTGAACGATCTTAGTACCATTTGAAAATCTCTGTAAACCATCTATACTAGTAAAAACATAATTAACAAGAAGAATCATTGTACGATATGATGTAAAAACATCATTATTCCCAATGAATTATTTTGTTCATATACATTTAATAGACATATTTATCAGTTAGTTACATTTATAACGGAATCAATAATTAATAAAGTGTATCATGAACATTCTATTTTCCATAGGATTACCTAATTAATATCAGAAGAGTTTTCCTTGGATATTATAGTAATTTTTAGTAGACTAGTATTTGAACGAAGAATATTCTTTTCGATAAATTCTCATCAGGTTCTACAGTTATATATCCAAATTAATAATCCGAAAAAATGGCCAGGTTGAGATCATGAGTCAATTAAAGCTAGACCACTATGGAAAACCTGGAAGCACTAGACGGCCGTTTTGTCCTATTGTGGGATTCCTCGGCAATACCTATCCACGATCCCGCCTCGCGACATTCCAACCCAGGACCTATCAGGGTCTAATTAATTGAGGATTTTCAATTGCATCAAGAAATACAAAGCCTGAGATAAGAATTTATGTTTTCTTACCTAAATAAACTTTCAAACAATAATAATGAGCTTGACGGATCTGTGCGAAAATTAATCGAATTTGTATGCGGTATTTCTTTGTATCAAACCGTACGATACACAGGATTTATGATAACAAGTGTATTGATATGTCGGTACAATTCCTATCACCAATTACCAAAAAATCAACTAACTGTTGGAGTGATCCAGAAAATTTCTTGCAAAAGACAAGCAAGGATCAGGAAACACTAAGAAGCGTTTCATCCAATCAGCATTCACTTGAAAATTTAGCCAAAAATATCGAGGAAGTGTAACGTCACATGTAGAGGTTCTGATTGGCTAATTGCTATACTACTACTATGTTAAGTAGCGTTCCAGAATCTTCGAGCAGCCCAAGGACATTTAAAAATATTATAAAAACCCTATATTTTCTGTGTTAAAACGAACCTTGGAGTAAACTACTTCTCGCATACTTTGAGTCTTCTCTCTCGTTGTTCAGGTCGCTGTATAGTTCTAGCTTGGGGGTTACAGAATAGATTAGGAAACGAATATAGCGTTCAATTTTCAAGACTTATCACTAACTACATAAAGTTAAATGATCTTTAAAAAAATTATTTCTTACTAACGGATACCCCCCCCCAGAGTAAAAATGTGAAAATACTACCATCTAGTGACTGTTTTTATACTGTTTATTAAATAAACACATTTATTTTATAACAGTAATATACGTGAATGTCTCAAATAATACACAATTCTTCAAGGAGTGTCTACATTACAAAATAAAGTAATACCAGTAAACAAATTAATAAATAAATAACCACTGCACAAACATAAATAATAACATACTAACAAAATAAACAAAATCAAAGTCTTTTTTGGTGATACGGATGATAAATGAATAAGGTTAGAGTCAGTAAATGGGAAGTGAAATAGTACTGTGAAGGGAAACCGAAATCATGCATCATACTAATGATCTACTTCATCATAATTATTTATTTCGTTTTGTCGGCATTATAAAAACAATAGATTATAAATTTTCTTCCTTGTTAAACTATTCTATTTATTCATGCCATTATTATTAGAATGACTGTAGTGTGATACACTGCTTTCGAAAATCAATTTCTTTGGTTATATATAAATATATACTCTCAGGTTATAATTCAGTTCTATCCACTTAAACAGGCAACGATCCAACATTGCTTACTGACTGATAGATTATCATCATTAGAACATATTGAAATATGATGAAACACTTGGATCTGATAAGAATCTATTTTATCACTTGTAATCTTGTGAAAGAAAGAAAAAAATTATTAATGAAAAACTATATTAGTTGTTGTCACCGTCATCATTATTATTAACTGTCCACTATTCGTAAATTTTTTTACGTTTATGTAGAGTAGAATATAAAAATGACAACGAGACAATGTAGAATAAGTAAATATTTGTTGGTTTATTAGTTTTCGTCACAAAGAAAAAACTTAAAAAGAATAAATAAAGATAATTAATTTAAATAAAAACCAATTTCTTTTGTTGCTTGTAATAAACGTGTACGTAATTCTTTCTCTGATTGATATTCTGGTAATTTTAAATAATGTACACATGTATTCACACTAGGATATGGTCCACTATTTGTTATTTCTTTGCGTACAATTCTTAAACGTGGATGTAGATTTTTTAAACCACCTGGTGGTAGACTAGAACAACCAGTAGTAAATTGTAAGAAAGCACGACGTTCAGATGAATTAAAATTACATAATACATTAATTAACATTTGATATGTTGGTGATTGTTTAGTAAAACCTAAACTTGGTACTGTATACGCAAGTAGATCTTCACGTGTCCAATGAACTACTGAATCCCCAGCAATTAATTCACCCAATTCTGTACCAGTAAATAACGCTAACCAACGAAGTGGTAATACACGCTCAAAACCATCTACAAAGCAAAAATAATAAAAAAAGAGAATAATATATCATTTTAAATAAAATAGATTGTAATAAATATATATTTGTTATATCTCAATCGGCAGATATATCGTATTTTTCATGTTTCATGACTTAATGTAAGCCACTTCTTCAGAGTACATAAATAGCCGAATTAAATTAAGTTTAAATAGTACAAAGGAAACAATGCAGACTTAAGATAATATCGAGGCAATCAGCATAGGATGCACATACGCCAATAACAGACTGATCAATTGCAGTCCTAAACAACAATGGGGAGATACAAGCAAACAAAACCAAATGAATTTAATCTATATATTATCCATCATGAATTGAATTCAACCACACTCTTCAGCACTCTATTTTATTTATCCAATCATTATGATTCATACCAACTGTATACAGCGTTCTTAATGATGACTTTCTTGAGTAGGATGGAAAAGAGTTATTTCGTGCTTCTTGAGTTTCAGTATATCTTCTCAAACCATTCTCTACTTAACAATAAACAACGTTTTACGTATATTTTCCTCAATATAACCTAATGGAATGGTTATCAATGGTAAACACTTTATTTTTTAAGCTATCATAGAAATCAAAGTACAAGTATACAACCGTTATGAATAAGTGACTCAGTGATTAAAACGGCTTATTTCTAACCACTAAACCATCCGTTAGAATCCAATATCTTTCATTTCAGTTTGGGCACCAACATCAATGCATCACTAAGCCTCAAAACCAAAGCATGGCTCAATATTAATCAGTACTTAATAAATAATTGATGATGATGATGATGATAATAATAGTGAAAAATTAATGAAAAATAATGCAAAATTATACCTTTGAATGAATCCAGTTGTTTACGAATACCTTTATCCAAACAAAAGCCTAATGTCAATTCTAAATATTTTTCAATATTATGAATTGAAACAGGGACAACAGATTGTGAATTCTCTGTCACATTTTTGTACAATGATTCTTCTGTAGAATTATTAGTAGTTCTTGGTATTGTTGTTGTTGCTTCCCAATGATAAACATCTTTCAATGGATAAGACGAAAATCCGAAAAGCTAAACAGAAAAAAACATGAGTAAAATTAAGAAAAAAATTAAGTGATGTATACTTAAAAGAGACATTCAGTGTGCTTAAACACTAGATAGCTACAGATAGGCGATAAAAAACCCTGAACCTATGTTTAGTAAAGAATTGAATACACCACAGTGAGATGAAAATTATATATTTATGTATGCTGACTAACTTGTACAACCACAGACAAAATGGATCGACCAAATTTGAAGAACTTCAGAGTGCCATGATACCTACATCCACTAGAAATTAATAGACATACTGATATATATTCATTCGTGTGGTTAGAGGTCAGTTCATAAAATAATTTGCTGTCGGTCTGAGCCATGTTAGTAAGTTTGAATTATCCGATTGGGGTCACTTAGATAACCGCGATCAGTGGTCGCAGACTTTCAGCTGCATGGTTCAAAATTGTTTACAATGGTCCAGATGCATTGACTTTTTATTTTCCAGTGGATCGTGAATTGCGGGATTTCATCACACGTACTTTTACACTGTGTATTCTGTCAAAACATGTTCTAAATGTTCACTTCTCATTATAATTGACATTAAATCACATTACTACCTTGTAATTCATCGTATTAATTTCACATAGTTGTGCTTATACGGTAGTGGCAACTGTAGCAAACGCACACGAGATAATCAATAGGTATACAGAAAGATATACGAAGATAATGAAATCAGCAGACGAAACTAATGACAGTCAGGCGGATGGACTTAAAACATGGAGAATGACCGAAAAGCTCTCGTTTATTTAAAATATAGGTGTTGATGGTGTTTTGTTCAACTGAACAGTGAAAGCTAGGAATCATTAAAGGCACAAATATAAGACTGAGGTTGTTGGAAATACAGGCTTCCAACATTAGTTCATTGATTTTCTATGCATATACTGAAAAACTTCGACTCTATGTGACTACATTACTGACTGATAAAGTAATCATTCTGATATACATTCATTGTAATCTGATAAGGTGACATTATTCAAGTAAAAGCTTTTTGTAACAACCCTTTATGAATTTTGGCAAGGGCAACTGGTGTAAACTGTGCTTAGAGTGGGATTTCGAAATCAATATTCTCTTGTATCAATTTAGTATAAATTTTAATCTATACGTGACCAATATTTATTGTTTTTTAGAATAACTGTACGTATCTCCCCACGTGTGAAAATCAGTATTGTGGTCAAGCATGGTGTAATTTTGAGACTTTTTTGAGAAGTATATTAGGGCAGTCAATGAAGCTTCGTTGCACCAGTCTTTAGTGTTCCTATTTTGAGTTGTGGGAACTGTAGTGGTTCCCTTTAACCAATACGTAAGCAGTAGGACTGAGGAATTGTAGTGATCCCCGAATGTCAAGTAAAAACAGTAAGACGACAAAGCGAATAAACTCGATATATACATAACAGCGACGACCCAAAAGATATAACAGCTAGCTACCCATTTCCAACAGTGCCGACGGACCCAAATTTCCCAGTTATAACAGTGTCAATTCCTGGATACAACACATTGCAACTAGCATTTTAACTAGTACCTTGTCAATATTTTCATTTCTGTAATCAATTATTTTTCTATCTGTTTGGTAATAGATACCAAGATAACTTAATCTTGCTACGATCAAAGCAATATTACAGATGAAAAGAAACAAAATGAGAAGAAAAATGAACACATTACTTTCAGCAATTTACCTTAGAAGATGGAAGAAATTCCATAGATAAACAAAGATCAGTAAGATCACAGCCAAATATTTCAACAGCTAAATCATTAATACACTTATCATTTGTATTTCCAGTTGATATCGTAGATTTACGACGATGAAATTCTGCTATTTGTCTCAAAAATTGTGCACGTTCCGGATAAATAATACAAAAATCATTTAAATTTAACAGACCTGAAATCCAATGTGTTGAGGATTGTAAGTTATTATTATTACTGTTCTGAGCAATGGAGCCACAACATTGATACAGTCGTTTATATTGTGGACTGATAAGAAATGACGCTAAATTAAACTCTTCATCATCATTTGGATTGAACGTATTTTTAATAAATCGACTATTAGTAGTACTAGCAGTAATAGAGGTTAGTTGATTTCTTAAATACGAATAACCATATAAAACATTTTGAAAAGCACTTTCAACATCTGAAAGAACAGAGAAATCTACATTATTGGTTGTTTTAAAACTGTCCAATGAACAAGCTGCAGAATGACATTTTTCCAAATCATGATGATTACAATTGTGAGTGTTGACAACACTACCGTAAGTAGAAAGAAGTTTCAATAATGGTGTGGACAAAGGCAAATCAATACGACGATTATCCTGATGAGTGTATAAATAATGAAAATAAAATTTTAATAAGATTCTAAATATTATGAAAATAAATAAATGGATTTTATCATTATTTTCTTGGAGAGGAGGGTTAAATCTTATCACGAACTGATGTCATATCAATGAATCATTACAGACCTAGAGAGTAATGGATAGTGGTGTTGTGAATATCTTAGCAATTATACATCAATCAACCAGAGAACCATCATTACTAAAATGAATAGAAGGTGAATTGGGATAGAATAGTTTGTTTCAAAGAAAAATTGAAATTATACGACCAGCCAGTAAACAAAGGGAGTGATTAGTTTATTGGTGTAATTTATCATGTTTAAGGTCAATTACTTATTATTAAAATTTAATGCTGAGTACAATATCTGAAATATTTAGTCAATTTATTAATAGAAATATGAAACTGATCATAAACTGTTATTAAGTGAAGTATTGCGTTATGGCCTTTCGTTTGATTCAGTGTAAAATGAACACATCCTAATCCTTGATTTGCCGTTTACTTAAAAAAGAAAAGCTGAAGAATACTTAAGAGGCTTTACGCATTTAAAAACTTATTGTGAAACATTCTAGAAAGGTTTAATAACACAAATAATAAGTGGATATAAAGTTTAATTACTTTGTTTATTAATCCACTACATTTTCCATTCAAGATTTCGTAAATCGAAGAAGGTTAGATACATTTCCTTCCAGTTTATCTCACTCCTAAGATTGAGAAAACTGTTTAGAAAATGTATGTGTGCGTTAAACTTGAGCTTTAACTTTTCCAATTCGAATTTCCACTTCAAGTTGATAGATTAATCTAACAGGTTAGTGCAGAATCAAGGTCTTCTTTTCATAATTTTAAAATAATTATTGAAATGGTGTGATGAGAAAACACACTCCTAGACATTTTGGAGTCGACATCATTGGACAATGTGTGATGACGGACCACCGGTGAACTCGAGGAAGCTGTAAGAGGCTCAGAAGGAGCCGAAGACGTCTCATCCAATCACCTTTCGGAAGAATATTCTAGAATTCCAACATGTAGCTTCCCGATTGGATAATGCTAATAACCCCTTGTATGCGGATTAGAATACTGTAATGATGATTTCGTTCTCACTAAAAACTATAAATACCTGACAATTTTGTACTATGATTGACACTGTTTGGAATAATATTCCTTTCGTTAGTCGTGTTCTAGTACTCTGTTATACGCGGTAGTATCAAGAAAAATCAACTTTTCAAGATATAACACAATGAAAGCTTTCTTTGTATCCACAAAAAAACAAAACAATTTGTTCTATTACTTTGAATCAACCCTGGAAATCATTCATTCATTTTAAAACAGAACATGAAGTGATAACTTTTTATTCATCTCATATTTTGTTATTCATTTCCCTAGCTTATACTTCCAGTTATCCCTTTATAATTATTTGATAATGTATTTAATTAATTGTTATTAGTTTTTACATATAAATGCATTCACGAGTAAATGTAATATCTGACTGTTTGAAATGTATTACCGTGCAAAAACATTTATTTTATGATTAGCTTTGCCTTCTTATTATACAAAAAAAATCATGGATATATTATCTATAAGAATACATATTCGTATCCCTTTATTATAATATTGGAAGTTATGTTAATGAAAAATATAGTGATTAAAAGAAATAAACTACAGAGAACATAGAAGAATATAGTAACCACAGAAAAAGGTACGTAATTATATATTCGAAGAATATTCATACAAAAATTTATTATTGAATGACTCTTTTGTTGATCATTTACCGTATAAATCTACTAAATGTTTAAAAATCTTACTAAAATTGGTAAAATATTAAAATTAGTAAGAAAAAATCCACTCAACAATAAGATAACAACAAATTCAAACGATAAGATCATTCACCTGAAGGCATTTTGCTACTGTTATTCCTAAAATGAAGAAGCGATAAAGAACTGATTCTGGAACTTGATCTCCTGGCCATGGAGCTGGAAACAATCCGTAAGGTGTGTTCACATATACATTTGCTTCATCAATGTCATCTATTTCGTTGCCAGAAGAGTTATGTTGCTCTATAGTTGCTGAGCTAGAAACGGTGGGTAGAACTGAATGACTTTGAGTTAACTGCTCACTAGTCATTGTAAAATCATTTGTGACCCACATTAAACCATCACGTCGACGAAGTTCGGCGGCCAAAAGTGAATAAAATTCTAAAGTCGGACCTAAGCCTGTGCCTTCCTCGCCTATTTTTTTAAATATGAAACATAACAAAAACGAGAACGGCAACTAAATAACTACTGTTCTCTAAAAGTCATAGATTAAATACTGTCATTAATTATAAATATAAGCCAATCTGAACAAAAAAAGAAGCAGAAACTTAACTTCCAAGTGAATTACTTTAAAATATATCATTAAATCACAAGGATATTTTGCATACTCTCAAATAGTACTAAGATAACAAAATTCAAACCATTACAAAGTGAGAAATCGCTAAACAAAAACAGTGGTAGAGGAAATTTATTCAACCTGAAACAAACATGACATTTCAATAGATTCGATAGGTATTTAATTTCCAAATTGAATTCACGAGTCAATCAAAGCTAGACCGTTACTGAAAACGTAGAAGCACTGTACGGCCGTTTTGTCCTAGTATGGGACCCGTAAGTGCGCATCCATAGTCCCACATGTGCGACTCGAACAAAGGACATTTAGTATCGCGTGCAAACGCATGACCTCTAGACCACTGAGCCTAAATGACGATTAAAAACAATCTGGAGAAAGCTTCAAATCATCTCAAGACAATAACATAATTATGGCGTAAGAATTATATCTGAAATTTCTCAACTACATACAAAATAATATTCTACTAAATATGTGACCAATAAAACGATTTATTGGTGGTTGAAGCATTTCACTTACAACTTTAATATGTCACACTATCTACCCGTTCAGGCCACTAGGAACATATAATCTGATTCCATATGGGATATCAAAAAATGTACCCATCAGGTGAGTTACTAGTGCTCAACATTTAGATAGATCAATAAACTGACTATCAAGTTATTAATTAGTGTTAGACATGACAGTAACAATGCTTAGATATATATGTAGAGAAAGTTTAATTCAACTGATTCATTCTGATGTATTAATCTTGTTCTCTAAGCTCTGCAGAACAAGTTACGTGAAAAACTGAAAAGTTAGAAATCAGTTTTTCTAAGCAGCGAAAAACAAATACATTACCTCCTTTATAAACTAACCAACTGTCAATTTGGTTTATAGTAGTGTTAATATTCATATTTGTACCTAATGTTTTATAAAATGTAAGGTTTGTAACAGATTTACACAAATGAAATTTTATGATTGAGATCATGAAACGATTAATGTTAGACCACCATCAGAAACCTATAAGCAATGGACAGACGTTTCGCCCTATTGTGGGACTCCTGAGCAGTGCGCATCCAGGATCCCGCTCGCGGGATCGGTTCATGATCTCAATCAAAAACTTAATAATCTTCACAACTCCTATACTGACAAATGAAATTATCAGGTTTGCAAGTAAATCGAGTAAAAAGTTGTTTGTAGATATTTTAATGCAAATTGTTCTAATAATAAGTACCCTTAACCAGAATCAAAAAGGTTAATAAATGTTAACCAATTGTTAATACTACTCTCACTATTTTTTATTTCCAGCAGAAAGTCACTTAAACATTAAACTAAATACTACAAACGATATATCTTCCATAAAAATTGTAGCATCCTAAAGATGACTGAAGAAAGGTTTTTTTCCGTGTCGAAAAACTGAGAAAACAATTAGTAAATATTCCCCCTATCAATTATCAGATGACAAAATCGCCAATTCGAGTACCGACTTGTATGACCTTGTTCTTGTGCCGAACAAAAAACATATCAAAACAGCAATAGCAGCCTTTCGTCAACACTGAATCCTTATTGATTCTTCTTGCCTAACACTACCCGTTGAATTCAGTAAGTAATCTCAACCTCTACGGTATAATTCGCATATTTCAGACATACTTGGTTTATGTATAAGCAAAACAGCTCACAGCAAGAAAAATAAAAATTATACAAAATCAAACCAAAAGTGGTTTTGAGTGTGGGATACGGTTACTGATAAATTGCGAACAAGTTAGGAATGGTGAATCGTATAAAAGGGGCCAGTAATTCAAATAAAAGCTTTTGGCAGAAGGTATATATATATATATAATCCAGTTATTTAATAGTTATCCAAAAAGAATATATGTAATAATAGTCCATATATACATCCTAGCAGTCACAATTCATTTTTTCTTCGTCTGGATATAAAAAGAAATCAATAATTTACAACCTTAGAAAAAATACTGCCAAGATATCGTATGGAACTCAAACTTATCCGTCCTCTTGATAAATAAATGTGATCGCTGGAAAATTCCCATTATATTAAAACACAATTGTATGAACGAAGAATATTCTTTTCAATAATTTCTCATCAGGTTCTACAATTATAAATCCAAATTAATAATCCATAAAATTGGCCAGATTTAAAGCAGAGTATATCATTTGGAAATTGTAATATGTGAATTGAGAATTGTTGTTTGTTATATAAAAGCAATTCAGATCGTTAATGTTGGGGCCGTGTAATATAAAGTGTTAACTTGAATCAGTTTATAAGCGAAATGAAATTGTGCGGTAAATAATGATCAGAATAAATATAGTTAACATGTGGTGAGAGAGAAAATGATGGAATAAAAATCGGAAATTACGTAATACGTAGAATAATATGAATTAGGTCAGATATAGTAGATTTAGGGGTGGATATTGAATAAATTCCTCAAAAGGTTAAGTGTAAAGATAATAATAAGTTTGGGGCATAAAATGGACATTAATCAGAATGCGTCAGCATATTATAAAATTATTTATTAACTAGTTGTCCCCATCCCGACCGTTGTTGCTACCTTGACGTGGTGGTTGGGCTTGTCTATCATGATGAAGCAACCGAGCTATACTGGCTGGAACAACCCATTAGGACTGATCAGACTTCCAAGATCAGTGAAGTTGTCAACGCGTTCGACTACTTCACTCCCTATCCTTAGTTCAGGTGTTGACGCAGACCAGTCCTGAAGCAACAACTTGCATTTAGAGGGAGAGAAGCGCATTCCAAACATTCTGGCATTGTTGCTTAGTGCTACCAAAAGACTCTGCATTTTGTCAGCGTCTTCACCAAACAGGACTATGTCATCTGCGTATTCTAAGTCGATAAGTGGACCTCCTGGAAGGAGATCAATACCCGAGAATTCAGTCGACGAGAATGTTATTTCCATCAATAGGTCTATGATGAAGTTAAACAAAAATGGAGAAAGTGGACAGCCTTGACGGACACCACTTGAGGTTGCAAAAGTAGATGACAGTTCGCCATAAGCCTGACTCGACTAGTAGTGTTCGAGTAAAGAGCCTTCACAAGGTTTATGTACTTCTGAGGTACGCCTTTCAATGACAGACACTGCCACAGAATCTCGCGGTCTACAGAGTCAAATGCTGCTTTTAAGTCAAGAAAGACCACCATTGTCGGACGCCGATAAGTATGCCTGTGTTCTAGAACCTGACGAATGGTGAATATGTGGTCGATGCAGCCACGACCAGGTCTAAAGCCAGCTTGGTTCTCTCGTGTTTGCAGTTCACGAGTCTTAGTTAGGCGTCTGATAATTATCGAGGCTAGTATTTTAGATACTATATTAGTTAAACTAATCCCTCTGTGGTTGTCACAGGATGATTTTGACCCTTTCTTATATATTGGGACGATAAGTGATTGTGACCAGTCAGATGGGATAACGTCTAACTCCCAGATCTTAGCTAAAATATTAGTCAACCTAATCGCTAAAATTGGACCACCATCCTTAAAGACCTCTGGAGCCAATCCATCTGGACCAGCTGCCCTTCCTCGTTTCAGATTAACTATAGCCTTTTGAACTTCAGCAAGAGTTGGGGGACCTACTTCAATGTTCCATTCACACTGTCTGGGAATGGAGGGTAGTTGTAGAGTAGCTGAAGGCCAGCTGAACTGTTCTCTGAAATGTTCCGCCCATCGTTCTAAACGTCTGGACTGGGAGCAGATGAGAGTATCGCCTTTTTCCGAAATAATCTCACTTACACTTGACTTATTAATTCCAGTTTCTTTTATTAGTCTGTAAAGCTGTCTTGTGTTCCCTATAGTCGCCGCCTTTTCCATCTCTTTTGCTTTCGTTGCCCACCACTGCTCACGGTCGTTCCTTAGACTTTTTCTTAACCTAGATCTGATTTGTTTACGCTCTTCATCATGTTCGGACCTGATGGGACGAGTTTGCGAGAATCCATCAGTGTGATAGACTTTGAAGAAATCCACTGGTTCTTTGTAACTCTGTGGTTTAAGTCACTAATAGATGTCACTGCTGTTTCCACAGCTGTTTGTATCTTTCCAAGCAACATCTGGGTCAGCCTCGTCTTCAGAACTACCTAAGTGTGACCTCAGTTGTTCCTGGAACCTACTTTTGGTTTTCTCGTTACTCAACTCAGTTCTAATGGGTCTTTTTAATGTGGCTTTTTTGCGTCCAGTGAGGCGCAAGCAGATGCGTGCCCGTATTAGGGCATGGTCGGAGTCCAAGCAGGTACTCCAGAATGAGCGACAATCTTCTACCGACCCTCTCCAACGATGACTGATGGCAATATGGTCTATTTGAGTCCATCGTTGGTTTGGTGTAGGGGGTCGCCATGTTAGACGATGTCTCTCCTTATGCTTAAAATTTGTGTTTGCTAAAAATAAACGATTGTCTGAGCATAGTTGCAGCAGACGATCACCATTATCTGTTCGCTGTGCCGGAATACTAAAATACCCACCTAAATGCCTTTCTGTTTGGTTTAAACTACCTATCTGAGCATTAAAGTCACCTGCTACGAGTACTATGTCTGAGCGTTTAGCTTTCTGAAGAAGTTCGGACAGCTTTCTGTAAAATTCATCTTTCACTTCATCTGAGCTGCAGTCAGTGGGAGCGTAGGCAGAAACGACGAAAAGGCAACGACGTGTGTCCCTATCCTTCCGAGTTCTTACGGAGCCGTTTAGCCGAACAGCACATAGACGACTGTTGACGGGGATCCACTCTAACAGTGCTTGTTCCGCCCTCATGCTTAGCGTTATCCCTACTCCTACCAGGCCACGAGAGCTGGCCGTCGGGTCATACATACATCAATGGTACGAGATTCTAGGGTTCTAGTCAAGGAAGCCTGTTGACCGATTTGACATAGGGTGCGTACGTTGAAGGCTCCAGTGTGTAGTGTGGAGCGAGGTTTCAGTAGACCTGGGACAATGTTTTGAGCACTAGAATCGTTGGCTGCGGTGACACTTGAGGGGGAAGCCGAAAAGGAAGTTTAGAGTGGAAAGTCGATGTAGGAGGAAGAATAGAAAGTGAAAACGGAGGTTGATTAGGAATACAGTGGTCTTGAGTGCTGTTAGAGGTATGAGAGTGGTTATTACTTCCCGGTTGCCCACACCGTGGAAGGGGTCTTCTGCAGATACCTGAAAAGGAAATTGGATTAGAGGTGGTCTTAGTGACCTGAGAGCGTGACTGCAGTGCCCAAGGGACAACTGCTTGAAGTCGGTCACACACGACCTTTTTATGGGTAATTTTTGTGTTAGCTCCGTACTTGTTGAGACCTTACCGCCGGAGACGGATATCCGTGCGATAAGGCGAGGTGTGCATTTTTAGGGTCGACCTTTTCCAACCCCACCCCTCCTTGTGGGAAGGGAGCATCGCTGTCATGCTGGTTGTCTGAAGGAAACACCTTACTGCTATCACACCTACGTACAGTCAGCAGTACGACTTCGCCTTCGGACCTTGGGTTTGTTGCTTTTAGTCTTACTGCTCTTCAACCGACCTGTCTGACATGGTAGGACCTCGAAGAACGGTTGTTCCAGCCAGTATAGCTCGGTTGCTTCATCATGATAGACAAGCCCAACCACCACGTCAAGGTAGCAACAACGGTCGGGATGGGGACAACTAGTTAATAAATAATTTTATAATATGCTGACGCATTCTGATTAATGTCCATTTTATGCCCCAAACTTATTATTATCTTTACACTTAACCTTTTGAGGAATTTATTCAATATCCACCCCTAAATCTACTATATCTGACCTAATTCATATTATTCTACGTATTACGTAATTTCCGATTTTTATTCCATCATTTTCTCTCTCACCACATGTTAACTATATTTATTCTGATCATTATTTACCGCACAATTTCATTTCGCTTATAAACTGATTCAAGTTAACACTTTATATTACACGGCCCCAACATTAACGATCTGAATTGCTTTTATATAACAAACAACAATTCTCAATTCACATATTACAATTTCCAAATGATATACTCTGCTTTAAATCTGGCCAATTTTATGGATTATTAATTTGGATTTATAATTGTAGAACCTGATGAGAAATTATTGAAAAGAATATTCTTCGTTCATACAATTGTGTTTTAATATAATAAGAATTGAAACTTCTCAGTTATTTGATGAAGAAACATTTGAGTTGTTGATAAGCGTCAATCAGACGTTAGACATTAAATGACACATGTGTAGTACATGAGACAGTTAGTGTAGCAACAGTAAACACAGGGAGAAAACTAAGATCCTCGAATGCAACACGGAGAGCACCAACAAAATCATACTTGATGGAGAAACACTGGAACAGGTGGAAAACTTAACATACTTGGTGAGCACCATTGATGAAATACGAGGATCTGATGCACATGTGAAGGTAAGTATTGGTAAAGTTAATACAGCATTCCTACAATTGAAGAACATATGGAATACAAAACAACTGTCTATCAACCAACATTAAAGTCAGAATCTTCAATACGAACATCAAGACAGTTCTACTGTACGCAGCTGAAACGTGAATAACTACTACAAACATCATCAAAAATGTACAAGTATTCATAAACAATTGTCTACGCACGATACTATACGTCAGTTCACCAGATACCATTAGCAACAGCCTACTGTTCGAGAGAACAAACCAGATTCCAACAGAAGAGGGAATTAGGAAAATACGTCGTTAGTGCATAGGATATACATTGTTGAAATCGACATCGCGAGGCAAGCTCTAGCTTGGAATCCTGAAGGGGAACGGAAAGGAGGAAGACCAAGAAACATATTGCATCAGGAATTGGAAGGAGACAGGAAAATAATAAACAGCAACTGGGAAGGATTACCCAGGATAGAGTTCGTCGGAGAATCGTGGTTGATGGCCAATAGTCCTTCACGAAGGATAACAGACGTAAGTAAGTAAGTAAAGTAGTAGATGTAATTTCGTCACTCATTCAATTTTCTGATGAATATAGATTAAGTTGGCTACTCGATAATAACGTTTCATAGCTAAAATATCGAGGATAATAAGAGATTGTAATGAACTGGTTATGAATTAGGAATAACGAGTATGTTAAAAACCATTCTACAATCGTTACAAAGCTCATACAAAAAAACTAGTACCATGTTACGATAATGGATGAGATAGTTAGGCAGTTCTTGAAAGGCATAGACTTTCTACCTTGTCGCACATGCAGATTAGAATTTAAACTCAAAGACAGAAGAGATATACAAAGGCGTAGAAACATAATAGGTGATTATAATAAAAATAGTAGCGATAATATGATTTACCGATGAATTGTATTTCCAGTTCAGATTTGCGAGATGCATGCTCTTCCATAAGTCTTGACGCCCAATGCCAAAATGTCAAATTGTCTGATTGATGATAATGGCAGTAATTAGGAGATGATTTCATATGTTTACTTGTCAACTGAGTTAATAATTCATGTGGTAAACGTGGAATACGTACAAATTCTTTATGTAAGCGGCCAATCTGTGAAGTCGACCTATCATCCGAAACGAGTCCGATGCCAACACTACTACCACCACCACCATTTGGAGTAGTAGCTGTACCTCCCGTCGATGTGGTCACATGTTGATTATTCTGATCACCATGAACTAATAAACAGTTGATTAAATTATTATTATTATTACTGACCCCAGTACTATCAGATAAAAAGTTAGTATCACAGTTTAATGATGCAGCAGTAGAAGTAGTAGATGTCAGTAAAGGAATTCCTAAACCTGTTAATATAGATTCAACTGATGAAATATTGTCAGAATTTATGTCGAAATCATTATTGTCGGTATTTTGTAGGCTACTAGTATTGTTATTATCTGTTCCATTAACACCGGTTATATTCAGTAAATGATTCAATATTGATGGACGTAGTAGTACAATATCTTCATCAGAATTTATTGATCTATTTCCATCGTCTAGTGCATTATTAGTGATGTTACTGGCAGCGGCCGTGGCTGTGATGGTAGTAGTAGTATTAGTATTAGTAGAAGCAGTAGTATTATTACTAGCATTGGTATTGTTTAAGAGAGCAGATATTAAGGAAGCGTTAACGGATGGTAGGAGAATTCGATAAGATGAACGACCACTTGCACGACCTGCACTCCCAGCACGACTATATCCATCCGAATGCGTTAAATATGTACGTTTTTGTAATGGACGATTCTGAAGCCAAATAGCAGCTCTGAAATTACGGTGAACAAAACCAACAAAAAGTCATTCAACGAATATTTATACAGTTTACTTTGAAACTTAATTAAGAGGATGGGAGTGACCAGATCAAAAATAAACTTGAAGTTAATAGAGTCCTGAATTACCTATAATTGTCAAACGTTACAAAAGTGTAATGACACACATTACCACCAAATAATTCGTCTTACTGAACTGATTGATCAAAGACATATACCATCAGCGTTCCGAACCACTGAAAAACCACAGTGGTGTTATTGATTACCGGTCGTTTTTGGTTATTACGACCTCAAGTGACTCTATCTAATTCATATTATCAATCACTACTCAAACAAGCAAACGCACGCAAAAATCTCTTTAGAATGAAACTTTATTAAACTGTACTAGGTAGTAGTAAGTTTCACTGATTGAAAACTATTGTTTACTCATTTATATGCGCATATGCATACATTAAGTGAAATGAGTTCAGAAAACTTTACCTACTCATTTCAGTAATCGAGTAGTATATAAAAACAAAGAAAGAAATCAGATTTAGCGTATGCTGTACAGTGAAAAACATATGTAAGAATTTATTGAAAGAAGAAAAGCAACACCGCTTAAGCTAGCACTAACCTGGCTGGACCAAATGCACAAGCTGAAAACAACTGAGAACGTACATTGAATGAGAAGAGAATATTAAATCGTTGACTTAAACTTAAACACCAATTAGGTAAAGCACCAGAAGCTAACGCTAAAGGATCATGTATTTGACGCAATAACTTATTAGTTAATCGTGTAGATGTAAAATCCTCCACTTTCATTTCAATTGATTCGCTTTTATCAACCAATGAATTATCATTATTGTTATTATTATTCTGCAAATTGAATTCCTTTAAACCAGATAACTGATATAACAACTTGATAAGTTGTAAAATATCTTCAGGATCACTTGGTGGATAAGATTTATGAACATTGTAATCATTCATTATTGAGTATTCTGATTTGTTAGTTAAATTATCCATAACAACGCCATCAACATCATCGTTATTATTACTGTTAATGTTGTTATCACCAATTATAGGTATTTTAATGCCTGATGATGTATAAATTATTGGTCTATCCAAAGATGGTGTAAATCTTAAATCACGTTTATTTAATAATGCCTTCCCATAGATTGTTCGAATTGTTGACTGATGTAAAAAGAAAAAAACAGCAAGAAATTTAATTTTTACATTGATATGCTTAAACTTCCATAAAGACTCGCTGGTATCCAGTGCTAACAGCTTCTATAGTAGAATGACGTAATAGCAGATTACAACTAACTTACGTCCGTTCTCCACCAAAATTTCGGTTGAAGAAATACAAAATCTCACAAAACTACATAATTCAATGATATATATATATATATATATATATATATATATATATATGCCTATACTACTACTATGCTTTTTACGGTTTCGGAAATCTCTTGAAGCCTAGGATAGTATGTAACACTGAACTTAACCTCGTTATCGTACACGAACTAACCTTCAAGAAGGAATTTTTCTCGCCATTCGCCTCTTCTTTCTCCTGTTCCAGTAGACATATAGAAGTAAATTGGGAAGATAGTTTAGGCGGACTGGTAGTAAGACTTATCAATATCACATAATGAAGAACACTACTCACTAACCTAATCACAACAGAAGTAACAAATATTGAAAAAAAAATTTATGTAATAAAAAGAGACATACCTCATTCATATCATGATCATGATCATTATTACTAACATCAGTAATAGGTGTAGGAATAGTTGATAATGTAGATGATTTGACACAATCATCATTCGCATCCCAAAATCGATAACCTAATTTAATTAAATAATTATTTTTTGTTTTATCATTTCCATCAATTGATTTGGACAAACGATATTCACTAGAATTTTCAAGTAGTTCAAATTTCTCTGATAATTCCTAAAATTGTTTTTTTTTTTAATAAATTTAACAGTAACGATAAAAATTTAAATAATGAGTTAGAATCGTTTAAAAGACAAAATAATTATTGAAATATGTATGTTGTATTATACATTGACAATTTAAACTTGATTTAGGCAACCTCAACATTAAAATATATAATTCACTTGATATTGTTTTACTTGAATCTTCCCATTGATGTTTTAGGATTGAAATTGATCAGTCTCTTATTGGCATATGTGCATACTGTACGTATGCCTCGATATTGCCTTAATTTATAAGTATTATAAGCAAAGATGAATAGTGGCGAGCAGTGGAACGCCATCGCGAACGGTACTGAGTTCGAGTCCCACAGTGAACATCAACTCTGAGATACAGGTACATCTAGCTGACGAGTCCCAAACAGGACGAAACGCGCGTCCTGGATTCCACTGCTAGCCACTATCCATCTTTGCTTATTAAAATATATAGTTCACTGAGAAGAATAATAGGTTACTAAGTTGCTGTTGTTTTAAGATCAATTGAAAATTTGGAGATTTCTATGCTGATAATTGTAGTTTGAAAGAATATTGGACACTGAACATGTACATTAATAGATTATTAGGGGGTAATAATTGTCATATTTATCTGATCCACAGAGTTGATCGAATTCTATTGATCACGTTGCCATGTAACTACTAGTTTAAAAGAAAAAGAGTATTATTAAGTGTTCGAAGCCAGTTGGCAGTATTTCAGTGTCATAGTAGGTTGACCACGGCCCTAACAGTCAACTGGTTTCATCTCAGACTGTAAAATTAGCTGACGCAGGTTCAGAACTCACAAGCAACATCAGACCACATGATCATAGGTAGGTCTGCTGACGGATGCTAGGATACTAGGCAAAGATAACAAATCAATTGGTGAGCTAGTGAGTGTTCGGGAAGTGTAGTATGTTTATCGAACCACCATCTAACTCGAGAGGTAACTGAAATATAGGGCCGTGTAAACGGAAATACGACATCAGTCCATCAAGTCACTAACTTTGGACTGAATCGTGTTAGTAAATGGAGATTATCCGGGTGGGATCAGAGCAATCAATCCAACATAAGACAGTGCACAAAAGGTTACATATGCATGTGACGTACTCACTATGTACAAATATTCTAAATATAGATAAGATTTATTCAGCGAAGATGGAACGGATGAAACTCATAACAAACTGTTACATAGAATAAAATATCATATAATATTATCGTGTCGTTATAAAACAAGATATCGACTTTTGCACTTTTCAACATTTATTCTAAATACCTAGAATGACGAGTAAGTGTACTCATCGTAAATAATAAAAATGTAATTAAAACTACTGTTACTACATATAAGAAGTGTTAAACACGAAATAGCAACGGGAGATCATAATTCCATTCAATGTGATATTTATTTAGTTAGTATATCAATCAATTTCGCTCTTGATTGTTTTGATTTAAGGTGGTTTAAAAAATGAAAAACATTCAAAAGGAATCTTTTTAGCAGGTTAAACTATATGCTTTTAGTTTCGACTTCAAGACTGACTCAATCTGAGATTTTTTTACTGCTGATTGTTGTCTATTGTTTTCCGCATTAAATGTCAGTGTATTTTGTACGCTCATCTTTACTATATTTTTCTCTTATCCAGCTATTTTCGTTCACTTTAGTCTCCATGCTCCTCTAGTACACAAGTACCATCTAACTAGACGTGAACCGTCACACTTTGACATGTGTCAACCTATATCATTTATGGAATCAACTAGCTACATCGAGCAATAATTTCGTAGTATGTCGATAATGTTCTAAAGACACACAACAAGAGAAAAGATTAAAAATTCACACACACCCTCTACTCTATATAAGAGCTTGACCCAAACTACGTTAATCCCAAGCTCTACGTTGATTATGACTGATCAATTCATATTTACATTTTATCAAAATAGAAACAGTAATGTTACTTACTTGAATATATTTGAATAAAGTAGCATCCTTATCACGTAATGGTATTTGTATTAGATATTCAGAATTCATATAAACTCCAAGATACAATGATAAACGTGAATAAGAATCTGTTGAATCAAAGCAGGTACAATTAAAGTATTTTAAGAAATACAGAAATTTCAATAAACATTGTGTAAATTTAATTTGGAAAATTAATTGATTTCTTATAAAGGATAGAAGATGTAGAACAGAAAAAATATTTTATCTATGTAAGCTAGTCAGAAATCGAGGTTGAAAAACTTTTATTTTGTAAGATTAATTGTAAATCAATTTTAATCTTCAGTAAAAACACTTCCCGGTTGTGGTGACATATTTGATTCATTTTTCCGTCAGAAGCCCGGTTCTGTGGTTATTACATTATTGCTTCAGTCTTTAAAATTTGTATACCGGGATGAAAACATCGCAGAAATGACTGAGTCATCATTACTGATGATTGCTAATGAGTAAGCAGGTACATTGTCGTGAATTTATTAAATAGACTATTTGACACCTACAAGAAAATTACAAATTTGGTAGACTAGAAATGAATAAAAGTAGATAAATGATAGGAAAATGATGTTTAATTGTAAGTTAACGGATTATTTGTTTAGTTATGCAGTCAGTCAGTCATTCAGCTACAACGTAAGACCAGGCACATATGTGCATCGGTCCAGGTTGCCATACCGCATCAGCACAACAAGATGAACACCGGATTCATAGCAGTGGTTATGTCAAAGGTGGTAATATATAAGAGAAAGATTGCATATAGAGATATAATACAAGAAGAAAGAATTGGTTCGTAGAAAGAAAGATATGAAGCGATTTTAATCTCTTAGTTTAAGGGAAGACAGAGAGTGTATACACCGACGCCATTGTGATCGATTCTGAGCCATGTCACCAAGAGTCTCCAACCATTGGTTACGATAGTCACGCGGACCCCAACCAAGTAGTCTGCATCTACCAACATGGCTCAGACTAGAAGTTAGTGACTTCAAGCACTGATGCCACGTTTTGGTTTGGCCGCCCCTAACTTTCTTCCAACCATCTCCTACACCGGTTAGCATTGCACGTCGTGGTAATCGGTGTTCAGGCATACGTAAAACGTGGCCCAACCATCTCAGTCGATGAAGATTCATAACCTCATCAACTGATTTACCATCATTCCCTAATACCCTGCGTCTAACCTCACTATTACTTACCCGGTGATCCCAGCAGATGCCAGCAATATTTCTAAGGCATCTGTGGTCAAATACTAGTAGCTTACGAGTGTCTTCTACTCTTAATGGCCATGTTTCGCTGCCGTAAATTAAAACAGAACGGACTGCCGCGCAGTATACTCGTCCTTTTATTGATAGACGGATATCTCGCCTTCGCCAAAGGTGACGTAAGTTGGCAAAAGCCAAACGAGCTTTTCGAATCCGTGCTGAGATTTCGTCAGACACCAACCCATTAGGGCTGATCAGACTTCCAAGATAAGTGAAGTTGTCAACGCGTTCGACTACTTCACTCCCTATCCTTAGTTCAGGTGTTGACGCAGACCAGTCCTGAAGCAACAACTTGCATTTAGAGGGAGAGAAGCGCATTCCAAACATTCTGGCATTGTTGCTTAGTGCTACCAGAAGACTCTGCATTTTGTCAGCGTCTTCACCAAACAGGACTATGTCATCTGCGTATTCTAAGTCGATAAGTGGACCTCCTGGAAGGAGATCAATACCCGAGAATTCAGTCGACGAGAGTGTTATTTCCATCAATAGGTCTATGATGAAGTTAAACAAAAATGGAGAAAGTGGACAGCCTTGACGGACACCACTTGAGGTTGCAAAAGTAGATGACAGTTCGCCATAAGCTCTGACTCGACTAGTAGTGTTCGAGTAAAGAGCCTTCACAAGGTTTATGTACTTCTGAGGTACGCCTTTCAATGACAGACACTGCCACAGAATCTCGCGGTCTACAGAGTCAAATGCTGCTTTTAAGTCAAGAAAGACCACCATTGTCGGACGCCGATAAGTATGCCTGTGTTCTAGAACCTGACGAATGGTGAATATGTGGTCGATGCAGCCACGACCAGGTCTAAAGCCAGCTTGGTTCTCTCGTGTTTGCAGTTCACGAGTCTTAGTTAGGCGTCTGATAATTATCGAGGCTAGTATTTTAGATACTATATTAGTTAAACTAATCCCTCTGTGGTTGTCACAGGATGATTTTGACCCTTTCTTATATATTGGGACGATAAGTGATTGCGACCAGTCAGATGGGATAACGTCTAACTCCCAGATCTTAGCTAAAATATTAGTCAACCTAATCGCTAAAATTGGACCACCATCCTTAAAGACCTCTGGAGCCAATCCATCTGGACCAGCTGCCCTTCCTCGTTTCAGATTAACTATAGCCTTTTGAACTTCAGCAAGAGTTGGGGGACCTACTTCAATGTTCCATTCACACTGTCTGGGAATGGAGGGTAGTTGTAGAGTAGCTGAAGGCCAGCTGAACTGTTCTCTAAAATGTTCCGCCCATCGTTCTAAACGTCTGGACTGGGAGCAGATGAGAGTATCGTTTTTCCGAAATAATCTCACTTACACTTGACTTATTAATTCCAGTTTCTTTTATTAGTCTGTAAAGCTGTCTTGTGTTCCCTATAGTCGCCGCCTTTTCCATCTCTTTTGCTTTCGTTGCCCACCACTGCTCACGGTCGTTCCTTAGACTTTTTCTTAACCTAGATCTGATTTGTTTACGCTCTTCATCATGTTCGAACCTGATGGGACGAGTTTGCGAGAATCCATCAGTGTGATAGACTTGAAGAAATCCACTGGTTCTTTGTAACTCTGTGGTTTAAGTCACTAATAGATGTCACTGCTGTTTCCACAGCTGCTTGTATCTTTCCAAGCAACATCTGGGTCAGCCTCGTCTTCACAACTACCTAAGTGTGACCTCAGTTGTTCCTGGAACCTACTTTTGGTTTTCTCGTTACTCAACTCAGTTCTAATGGGTCTTTTTAATGTGGCTTTTTTGCGTCCAGTGAGGCGCAAGCAGATGCGTGCCCGTATTAGGGCATGGTCGGAGTCCAAGCAGGTACTCCAGAATGAGCGACAATCTTCTACCGACCCTCTCCAACGATGACTGATGGCAATATGGTCTATTTGAGTCCATCGTTGGTTTGGTGTAGGGGGTCGCCATGTTAGACGATGTCTCTCCTTATGCTTAAAATTTGTGTTTGCTAAAAATAAACGATTGTCTGAGCATAGTTGCAGCAGACGATCACCATTATCTGTTCGCTGTGTCGGAATACTAAAATATCCACCTAAATGCCTTTCTGTTTGGTTTAAACTACCTATCTGAGCATTAAAATCACCTGCTACGAGTACTATGTCTGAGCGTTTAGCTTTCTGAAGAAGTTCGGACAGCTTTCTGTAAAATTCATCTTTCACTTCATCTGAGCTGCAGTCAGTGGGAGCGTAGGCAGAAACGACAAAAAGGCAACGACGTGTGTCCCTATCCTTCCGAGTTCTTACGGAGCCGTTTAGCCGAACAGCACATAGACGACTGTTGACGGGGATCCACTCTAGCAGTGCTTGTTCGCCCTCATGCTTAGTGCTATGCCTACACCTGCCAGTCCACGAGAACTGGCCATCGGGTCACCAGATACACGAAGGGTGTATCTCGTTGGCTCTCCGTTTGCCGAGGTGAGGTCAAGTGAATGACCACACTGGAATCCTGTATGCGTGTTTCGGAGACACAGCATACATCAATGGAAAGAGACTCTAGGGTTTTAGCCAAGGAAGCCTGCTGACCGATTTGACATAGGGTGCGTACGTTGAAGGCTCCAATGTGTAGTTTGGAGCGAGGTTTCAGTAGACCTGGGACAGGTTTTGAGCACTAGAATCGTTGGCTATGGTGACACTTGAGGAGGAAGTTTAGAGTTGAAAGTCGATGTAGGAGGAATAATAGGAATTGAAGAGGAGGTTGATTATGAATACAGTGGTCTTGAGTGCTGTTAGAGGTATGAGGGCGGTTATCACTTCCCGGTTGCCCACACCGTGGAAGGGTTCTTCTGGAGGTACCTGAAAAGGAAATTGGATTAGAGGTGGTCTTAGTGACCTGAGAGCGTGACTGCAGTACCCAAGGGACAACTGCTTGAGGCCGACCTGTCTGACATGGTAGGACCTTGAGGAACGGTTGTTCCAGCCAGTATAGCTCGGTTGCTTCATCACGATAGGCAAGCCCGACCACCACGTCAAGGTAGCAACAACGGCCGGGGTTATGCCCATAACTAACAACCCGCAGTGGCTCAGTAGTGAAGGCGTTTAGCCATTAAATCCCAAGTTCAAAACCTATTTCATCTCTACTTCAGTTTGAGAAACAGGGTGGTGTCACAATCTCTCACACTTAAAATGTGGCTCTAACCAGACATCTAGTGAATGAGTTCATTTTCATTTATTCTGTAAGACAACTTCAAAGCTGGATACTCTGATTATCTGACAGAGTTTAGGGGTTAAGAAAGAAACATTTATCCCCGATAACTCCAACAATCCACAGACACTTTTAAATCATTGATAATCGTAGATGATGTTTTGTTCGAGAAACTAATATAAACGGGAATGATTATATAAGATAGTAGTCGAAAACACGATCGATCACAATAAATACAATTACAATTATCGAAAGTATTGATATTACTCGAATGAATAAGAAACATAACTTAAAAGACTTACCTTCGTCATTTGCTGAACATTCAGGTTCACTATAAGGAGGTCGACAAAGCATATACGCTGTAGTCCCTGGGGCATTTGTTGAACCAGGATTCGGAATAAAAGTAGGAATTAAACCCAATGGCAAACGAAGTGCATCAGTTGCTTCATTCCACGACAAAGGAACAGGAGGAGTACCAGAATGAGGTGAGTTCGAGTGGCTGGCAGGGGTCTCTTTAGATTCAGAAGAAATCATTTGACGTGGTCGATTTCTACGAATCCGGCGGCGAAACTGTTGATGTATTGGTTTCCATGACGATGGTAGAACTTGAAATCCTGAACTGTCTGATGATAGGTTAGCATTAAATGAAGTAGTTTCATTTAAATGTTCAGAATATTGAGAAGTTTCATTTAACTGTTGATTACGATCATCAAAATTTTTGGATAGTTTACTTGTGTTATTACAAGGTTCCTAAGAAGAAATGTAAAAAACAATTCAGTAAAGTTGATCTACATTATAAAACTTCGCAAAAGTGATTAATTATTTGTTATTTATTAAGGTATGAACTTTTACAATAATGGGACGAATGTCAAGAAAACACCAGGTATATCAATAATATCATGTAAATTAATTCTAATTTACTTCGATATAATTAATCAATAAATTCTACTGATAGACAAATTAGTTACATATAAGTAGAGAAGATTAATTTGATAAACAAAATGTTTTCTAAATATATTAAAGAGCCAAATCAGATATTCAATGCCATTTGCCTAAATATCTCAAACACAAAGATGTAAGAATAATTATTAGCAACAAGTGTATTGACCTTGAGAACAAAAAGACTTTCAAGCGAAAAATTATAAATAAAGCTTTTTGTGTTGTATACGAATATGTTCATCCTTTCAATACAAAAGCGTTTAGATTCTATGTTCAATTTGTAAAAGATTTCTGTATTCAAAATATTGAATCATTGTATACAAATTTTCTTGTAAATAGGATAGTTTAATTGTTGAAATATCTAATTGTCAAACATTGGATATCACGTTTGAATTCTATTCCTTTGTGGATGAAAGAAAGTTTTAGAAGTTGAATAGCTCAACCGTGAAGCTTTCATCACTCGCCTTGCAAACATCGTCAGTATACAGTATAAGAATAATTAATCTATACTAGAATTTCATGTTTCTTTCTGACCGTACATCCAGTTGATAAACTTATTTCTAAAACTAATCTGGCCTCCGTATTGTTTCGAATTTAAACATCAACAGTTACTTAGTCAAACAATTTTATACACCACCATCTTAGAACTCCGAATCCACAATCAACGTGATTTCTGGATATCTTTCTACACAGACACTATATGATTCGAACTTAAGTAAAAAAAATATGTACATGATCGGCAAGTTCCGGCGCTTTAACCGGATTCCAAACCAATGGTGCACATGGACTCCAGTATCCTGCAGGAACAAATGGCGTATGAACCAATTCCTTGGTCACCGGCTACCATGGACTTCATCTCTTTACGATGCTCCACTGCCTTGTGGGTTAGACCTTTAGGTCAAAGGCTCGGGCGGTGGCCCCTAAGATAACCACCTTCTTCGGTCTGGGTACTCGGGCAGTATCACAGCCCACACGCAAATGATGAACTTTCTATATCTATGGAAACTACTTTTCTCGCTTCGAATAACAATCAAATGATTAAATTTATTATCATTACTATTATCATTATTATTATCATTATTTACTACGACATTATTCACCCTCTTTTATTCCTACTTTGTCTATACTTATTTTCTTGACTTATACAGTAGCTCGTCTTTGGTGGACTTTCGACTCTATCTAAACGTTCTCGAGTCACTGCCTGGTTGAAAATTGTATGTTATCATCGAATATGAGTACTGAAGCAGTTTTTCTGAAACAACGTGCACCATTCAAACTGGCTGCCTTCAACGTTCGCACACTTATGCAGGTCGGACAACAGATAGGGCTGGCTATGTCTTTGGAAAGTCTTAATATCGGCATTTGTTGTCTATCCGAGACCCGTATTCAAGACTCTGGTGAAGTACTACAAATTCGCTTTCCATCTGTCGCTTCGAAAAGCTTGTTTTACGTGCGCTTATCCGGGGACCCTGTGGCATCTTCGTCTGGTCTTGCTGGCGTTGGTGTCGCACTAAGCGCTAGAGCTGAGGCAGCACTAGTCGATTGGATCCCCATTAACAGTCGGTTATGTGCTGTTAGATTAGAAAGTTCCATCAAAGTGAGAAGAAATCGGCGTGAGAAACGATGTCTTTTCGTCATCTCCGCCTATGCCCCGACAGATTGCAGCCCGGATGCAATCAAGGATGAGTTTTACCACCAGTTAACTGTTCTTCTCCAGAAAGTGCGTTCGACAGATATTGTAGTACTAGCCGGAGACTTGAATGCTCAGGTCGGGCGTCTAGGCACAGAAGAGAGTCGTTTAGGTGGCCGATGGGGACTCGTTGGTCGCAGGTCAGATAACGGGGACCGTCTACTGCAACTGTGCACAGACCACAACCTGTTTCTGGCTAGCACTAACTTTCGGCACAGTCATCGCCGATGTGCCACCTGGCGTCCTCCCTCTGCATCTCAAGCCTGGACTCAGATTGATCACATCGCGATCAGCTACCGCTGGCGTGGTTGTGTAAAAGACTGCCGCTCCTTTTGGAGTACCTATCTGGACTCTGACCATGCCTTGGTCTGCGCCAATCTTGCCTTACTTTTCAGTGGCCAACGAAGTGACCGCCACCAACGGATTGATGTTAGCAAGCTGGTTGCAACTTCTGTTGCAAGTAAGTATCGAACCGAGCTAGCCTCTAGGCTAGCTACCACTCCACCGAAAAGTATAGATGAGCATTGGTTGCAATTGCATGACGCCATGAAAATGGCGGGAACAGTCAGTTGTGGGTTTGCGAAACGTCCCGCTTTTAAGCACTGGGTTTCTTCTGGTTCCTTACAACTCATTGAAGCCCGTCGGTCTACTCCGGGTGACCGTGAGTTTGACCATAAACGAAGGATGTTACGTAAGGAAATTGGGCAAAGCTTGCGTAAGGACCGAGAGCCTGGTGGTCGAGCGTGCTAATGAGCTGGAAGCAGCAGCTGCATCTGGTAACTACCGGAAGCTCTTCCAGCTCATCCGAGCCACTGGCAGCAAGAAGTCTGGTGTGAGTGAAACAATCTGCGAGGATGATGGGATGCCAATCATTAACATCCATCGACGTCTTGGACGATTGGCGGAATTTTTCGAAGGGCAGTTCAACTGGCCTGCTGCTCCGGCAACATCGGTCAGACTGTCCTGCTCTCCATGGCCGGTGACGACTGATTCACCAAATGAGGCGGAATTCTACAAAGAACTCCAACTCTTGAAGCGCTACAAATCACCTGGCCCAGATGACTTACCTCCAGCTCTTTTTAAAGATGGTGATGAATTTCTAACTAAGGAACTGACGACGTTGTTTACAAAGGTTTGGTAGACAAGAAGTAAGTACATCACACCTCTGTACAGTTAGCAGTACGACTTCGCCTTCGGACCTTGGGTTTGTTGCTTTTAGTCTTACCGCTCTTCAACCGACCTGTCTGACATGGTAGGAACTTGACGAATGGTTGTTCCAGCCAGTATAGCTCGGTTGCTTCATCACGACAGACAAGCCCGACCACAACGTCAAGGTAGCAACAACGGTCGGGCAGTTTCTTGGAACAATAACGGGGCGGATTTGCATGCATATAACACACAATTCTCTTTGAACCTAGCACACAACAATAGCATCATGCCCTTGGCAGATCAGGCAACCCGAAAGTTACGAGAACACCATCAGGGCATACGACAGGCTAGGCAGAGTGAGGGCATTTAGCCACCTCTCTCTATTGTTCCATTCGAGCAGTGGAGTTAGGCAGGGTTGCCCAATCTCACCATTCCTCTTCAACTTTGCCATCGACGACATTCTGGAAACAGCTCTGATGGATGTAAGTAATGGTGGTGTGGATCTGTTGCCTGGAGAAAGACTTCTCGACCTTGAGTATGCGGATGATTTTGTCTTACTGTGCGATAATGCCCAAGGCATGCAATCCGCACTTAATCAGTTGGCAATCAGTGTCCGTAGGTATGGTATATGCTTTGTGCCTTCGAAGTGCAAAGTACTTCTACAAGACTGGCAGGATTCCAATCCTGTACTCACCCTGGATGGTGAGCAGATAGACGTAGTCGAGAAGTTCGTGTATCTTGGTAGCTGCATAAGTGCTGGTGGTGGCGTGAGTAATGAGATCAATGCACGTATAGTCAAAGCCAGAGCGGCTTATGCCAATCTGGACAATCTTTGGCGCCTACGTGATGTCGGTCTGGCTGTAAAAGGTCGGATTTACAATGCGTCGGTGAGAGCAGTTTTGCTCTATGCTTGTGAAACCTGACCTCTCCGAATTGAGTAAGTTATACGACTCTCTGTGTTCGGTCATCGTTGTCTCCGAAGGATTGCTGATACCCACTGGCAACACCATGTTAGTAATGCAGAGGTTCGGCATCGTGTGTTCGGGCACAGAGACGATAATGCAATTGGTGTCACCATCTTGAAACACCGACTTCGGTGGTTTGGACATGTTCTACGAATGTCGTCCCAGAGAATTCCACGTTGTGAGTTATTTGCCGTCTCTGGGACTGGTTGGAAAAAGCGGAGAGGTGGTCAGTGTATGACATGGTGTCGTGGTATGAAACAAGGCTGCAGAGGGCTGGCTTGTGTTGGGCCTTCACGACTCCCTGGTTGGGGTCCGAGAGATGGTACAACACAGTGGCTAGAGACGCTATCAGATATGGCTCAGAATAGAAGCCAGTGGCGATCCTGCTGTAACCTTCTTTTACTTTTTTCATAAAAAAAAGTGGTTGTGTCTTCTTTAACTGAAAGATTTCTTCTGATCGTACCTATCCGTTCTCCCATTTTTACCATTATTATTATTACACCACCTTACATCAATCTCTTCGTTATTATTCTCTTTTTTTCCTTCCCCTTAAATTCTCATTGTTTTGTGTGGCGCATATATATTTGGCGCATTCTTGTACCAATATTTATGTGTTTAAATAATAAAATAAATCATGACGTGATTATACGAAGTCGAACAGAAACAATATTGATTATTAGAAAAACGTGCCCACCATCCACACAACTTACAGTATTCACAGTTTTATTCACTGATGAATTAGTAGATGAATGAGTAAGTAATCCGATTGAATCACAAATCTTTTCTGGCTCCTTCTCTTCCTCATTGTGTAATAATTGATCAACTAATATGGGATTATTTTTATGATTAGCATTTTGAATCGATTGAAAATGTTCCCATGAATGAGATGGAGCTTGTGATATTTTGTCAATAGTTAAATCAATCGGGTTTTCATTATCATCACCATTATTGTTGTTTCGTCTATTTTTAACAGTATTACTACGAATTATGGCTTCTACGGTGTCTGCAAACTCTATAGCTTCTGGTTCAATAGAATTAAGTAGATAACCTAAACCAGGTACCTGGTAGGGAAGAGGCATGGAAAGAAAACAACTACAGATAATAAACAGTTAACGAATTTAATTCGAAAATATGTCTATTTATAATACAACACAGCATGTATTGAAAAGTGATGACTAATATGAAAATCGCTACACCTTCACATATTAACGGTGCGATAATAAATGAACAACAAGAAGGAAATCAGACAACAAAAAAACAGTAATGATACTGCACAGTAGTAGTGGTTGTTATATAGATTTCAATGAAACTAGACTTAAATACATTATTATCAGTAAGTGTTTGAATTATCGCGTTGTTGATATCGAGGACTAAATTTCGATCAGTCTATGTTGATACGCATACAAACATATGTGACTAACAACAATGGGATAATCCAAACGCTCGCTAATAATGATTTAAACATCATACCAACTGAATGGGTTGTTGAATATCCAGACTTAATAGACCAGTGGATAACGCTTTGAGTGTTTGAAACAAAGTAATATTAATAGTCGAGATCATTAGTCAATTGAAGCTGGATCACCATAGAAAACCTGAAAGCACTGGACGGCCATTTCATCTTGTTGTGGGACTCCTCAGCAAAGCGCATCCACGATCCCGCCTTGTGAGATTCCAACCCAGAACCTCTAGACCACAGAGCCGGCATCCAATGGTTTTAATGCCTAACTTCAACTAATCCACGAAATCAAGCGACACATCCACCATTGTCTTCAGTGAGTGACTATCTCACAAAAAATCCGGTTGAACTCCACTGGTCACTGCTTCTCACTGGAAGTCCAGGAAATACCTCTTGAAGCCAGTCATTAACAGCCTCAATTCATCTATTCTTAGCTAAAATATAATCATTACAATGTGAATGTCTGTGAAGATAATTCAGTTCGAAGTTGATTATGATCATAGACTGATATAAAATGGATAATGATGATTATCGCACAGTATCACAAATTGACCTAAATTAAAAATATTAATCGTTGGATACCAACCCAATAGTGAAGATGATACACAATCTTTGAAACCCGCGGGTTCAAGGGATATGGTCTCTAGTAGTTTTTTTATTATTTTTATTTTAACACAAAGATATTGGTAAAAGAAAGCACCAAATACATATGCGCCACACAAATCTCACTCGATATGTGTGAGGGCTGTGATACTGCCCGGGTGCCCGAACCGAAGCAGGTGGTTTTCTTAAGGGGCCACTCCCTCAGCCTTCGACCTGAAGGTCTGATCCACAAGGCAGTGGAGCATCGTAGGGAGATGCAGTGCCATGGAAGCCGGTGACCAACAATTGGTTCATACGCTATTTGTTCCTGCAGGATACTGGAGTCCATGTGCACCATTGGTTTGGAATCTGGTTAAAGCACCGGACATTAGCTTTTCGTCCTCTCATTTTCGTAAACAACACCTCCGCCACGAGAAGGCAGTGAGTAGGAGTTCCCTGGTAGGGGCTATATAAGCGTGGCCATGTTAGAGCATTTCGAGAGGGAGAGCGGACTCTCCCCACTCTCGACTGTACCAGGGCATTTGGAGGCGGTCTCTAGTAGTATTGTGGCTCTGTACATACTGCTGAAGATTTTGATACTAGAAAAAAAACATATTGATGATAATCAGTTTTTAGAGGCAATTTGATGAATAAAACAGTCAAAGCTGTATTCAAATAATAATACAAAATATAGCATAAAGACTTCCAATACAACCAACTGTAAAAAGAAAGAAAAAAGTTAAACAGAATGGACTTTCCTGATACTTGTGGAATAACTCTGAAGAAAAACACACTACTATTAGAATTAGGCACTGATAATGCTGTTCAAACTAGTAAAACACTAAAAAATAAAACGACACTAAAATGAACAAAATAAGCTACAAAATTAATTCTTACATCAGATTCACCAGATGCTTCTGTATTACTCTGATCAATATAGGAAATATGAGGTTCTGTGATATCGATTTCTCCAGTATCCAGAATAATAGAATCAATTCTTTTTGTATCCTCTGATTGATGATTGATCATTAGCTTTGAATGATGACGTTCTTCTTCTTCTTCTTCTTCTCTAGAATGTATACTATCCATGCTACGTGATGTACATTTATTCGATAGATCATAATCCACTGAATTAAAACAAAAATATGGTAAAATAAATTTGCAACGAATGTATACATATGAATTTTAATTAGTAGAAAAATAGCATGAATTTTCACTTATTTTTATCAGGTGAAACTTCCACTATTCAATGAAATGTATTAAAAATCATTACACAGAAACACACTGTATGTGTGTTGAGGGGAGAGGCAGGGTACTGACTGATTGATAATAAATAAAGAAAATATGTTTGAAATTCATTTCTTTTTTTTGAGCATAACATTATTCAACAACTTACTATCTTGTGATGCAATACGACGTAGAAGTTGATATAATTCTGGTGATGATTTATCATTGGCAAGAAGATTACCGAAACATTGTAATAATTTGTCATCAATCTAAACACACAAAAAAACAATCCCATTCAGTGTGAAAAGAGTTTGAAGATTGATAATATTCTGAAGCAAAATATAAAATATCATTAAGCTAAAAAGAAGTCCATGACTACATGTACATGCGTATAAGAAAATTAATTCTTGTTATATTCGTTAAAGAATCAACTTTAGATTGCTGTACGAGGAGGGGCAGGACATAGAATCTCATTGATTTACAAAGGAATAATCAAACCGGATTGATAATCAAGTGTTTACAATGAAGAATTACATTATTTAAGGGATGAAAATAGTTCGAAAATTCCTATTGGTCTGATATCATGTGTATTTTAGACAAACAGATATTACTAAAAAGGATTTGAAAATTGTAGAATTACATAAATGTAATCTTACAGGGATATGATTTTTAATAATCTAGCTAATATATGCTACAACCACCTAAAAAATATAATGTAACTGCTGTCGAATTACTTAAACTACTGTCCGCAACCAATTTGATCGACAGGATTTGATCAGAATTAAGGACTAAACAAACATGATATTAACTGTTACACAATGAATGACTGACTAACGTATTATCATGACTTACTGATCTGATTAATCAAAGACAGTAAAAATGAAAAACAAAATACATACAGTAATCAAGATTATTTGTATTTTCCTTATCATAACAAAATGTAGTGATTTAACAGTATAGACTTATAAATGAACAAATTTAACATAAATTTGAAGTGTATACAAGAAAAATTAAGTCAATTAGAATGTATGAATATGAACCGAGATAAAGAGTGAAAGAATAAAAATAAGGGGACTTACTGGTCCACTAGATAAAATATTTAAATTATCCAATTTTTTAGCAGATAATTCTAAAATCATATCCACATCCGATTTACTTGTACTTGTCATCATATTGTCATCAGAACCAGCTTCTTCATCGAATAAGATATTCATTAAAGTATCACTTGATTTATGATTAAGAAGGTTTTCGGTAATATTTTTACCAATACCATTACCATCATCATCATCATCATCATCATCATCGTCGTCGTCATCATCATCATCATCATCTTCATTGTCATCATCATCGTCATCATCATTATCATCAACATTTACATGATTATCATGTTCTTTTTCTTCTGTTTCCACTTTTCCTTCCTCTTCTTCATAATTATCATCTATGGGATTCCTCTTTAGTGATGATGATGACGATGGTATTATTGAAGTAATGTGATGACAAGGAACTATTTCATCACTGGACGACTTTGGATCTCGCCTATTATTGTCTATTTGTTTAAGCGTGATATTTAAATTAGATGATTTTGATGAAGAGTTTTCATCAGTTATTTCTTCAGGATCACTTTTGATAACCGTACGATTGTTAATATCATTAGCATCATCATTCACTTCATTTTGATTATTCTGACCGTTTCGATTATTTGTTGACAGGTTCACATTTACTGTTAACCATGATGATGATGACATTGATGTTGTTATCGTTTGAGAAGGAGGAGGAGAAATATCTTTTCTTTCAGATGAAATTGAATAGATCCTCTGTGCTAAAATACTAGGAGTCAATACCTAGACGAAATAGAAAATATTTATGTATCATTATTGTAGTTTACTTGGCGAAATCACTATTTTCAATAATAATCATATTTAGTGAACCTCAACAGAGATCAACTCATTTACCAGACACAGATTCATGTACTTGATTTCGGGCTACACTGAAATATGTGAAGTATAGTTTCAACCTGTGACTTAGTAGTTAAAGTTGAAGCCCGCAATTCATGAGCCACTGCTCCATAAACTGTAGCAGTATGTGAATGAAAAATGATAGGAATGGGGTTATTTGTTACCAACTTCGAGGGATCAATTAAATCAAGTTGGATGCTAACAAAAACACCCCATGAAAGTCAATGGTTTTAATCGTCTTTTAAAGCCATGGTTGTTACGGAGGGGAATCGAACATCTAACCTGATAGTTGAAATTTAAAAAAGTTAACCACAACGTCATCCTAATGAAAATGTAATCTGAAAAGCGTACAGAGAGAGGAAGGCACAGAATAAGATATTTATCTCATAAGAGATTGTTTTTATTTAATACGACAGAATGCTATATACGTTTATTGTTAATACAAAAGAACAAATATGGGGATCATTGACAAGTGTTAAACATTAATTTTCACGAATAAAAAGTCAAGAGAATGTTAGAACTTATTTACCAAGTAAACGTCTATGTAATCAGCTGAACCCCATTATCAGTGTGAGAGATACTAATACTACACAATCGGCTACATAGAAGACGGTGGAGTTTGTCATGACCTACCAAACACCTACTACTCACAAGCTGACTGTTTTAATAGTTAAACGACCGGTGAAAAGGAGTATATATTTATTATTGATTGTGAAACCTACATAATTTTAGTAATACATAATTAACAAGAAAGCAGTTAGTGAAGATCTTGATAAACCATTGAAACGTCGGAGCGATACAAGTCAATGGTATGCTGGAGTAAATTATTCCCACAAAATATTCACTCAAAAGTAACCAAATTAGAATTACTATAAGTGATTTGTGGAGATTTTCATGAATTACAACACTCATCGATCTCGGATAAATGACGACGGAAAACCAAGAAGAACCAGACAAGTAATTCGCTCTAGCATGGAAGTCTTTAGTAGTGTCAATTCACGACCCAACTTTTTGTTCAATAGCTGTCTAGCTAAGATCTATGAGTAATGTAATCAATGCAAAGAAGAATTCTCAATTAATGAAAACAGAGTGTGCGTTGATCAAATAGTTTTCTTTAAGTAAAAAAAATTGATTCTGTATGGCATCTCATAAAGAAGAGTTTAACTTCAATGGAAAGAATCATGAAACGAAAGCATAAAATTTTAAGTATTAACCTTTTCCAAAGCTTTCATATGACAAACGTGGGGTAATTTAAGCACTTTTTAAACTGTAGATCAGAATGATGACGGAAATTTTTTTGCATAAACACAATTCACACATAACTCTAATTACTCAGTGGCAGTAAGCAACGTAAAAATTTTAATACACAGGAGGAATATTTTTCTTATCAAGAATAATATATCTCGAGTGAAGTCCGAAAGTCCTAGAAGTAGTTTACTTATTAAGTTCTAACAGTTAAAAAGTATTGAGATCAAACTTACCGAATGATATACAGAATAAACATTACCATAAAATTCTAAACCACCAAGAGCTAATTGTTTGCCGCCATCTGCATTTGTTCCAGTTGTTTGAATTTTAAAAAAGCGCCAACCTTTTGTAGATTTTTTAGTACATGCTGTGTTCAGTGTTGAAGAAATTGTTTCAGTTTTATCACCATTATAATTATTATGATATGAATTTATACTCCATGTGGCACGACTACCTGAAACTGATTGAATACTTGAATCATTGTTATGTTCACGTAGAACAACCCAAGTTATAGCGTCATTGGAAGCCTAGTAGTTTAACGCAAAGAAAATTAGATGATAAACTACCACTTTAAAAACAAATTTAAATAAACCCCATGCACCCCATAGGCTTTAGTAATTCAGCGGTTCAAGCCTGAACATTGTGTGTGTAAAACTAGTGTATGTGAAATCCCTCATTAAACCACCATCCCTTTTAGACAATTTTTATTTGACGATCACTTATTATTAGCTTCTTTGAAATTTTTATGTTTACGATTCAGTTAATATTACTTCACTGTTTTTAATTTTTTTATATGTCAAGGAGACAATTATCTTTCGGACTTCTTATCAATAAATTATTCTGATCTTACAATTTGTATTCAATGTTTAGATCATTACAGAACCTCCTTGTGAAAATTGAGTCGCTGAACACTTTATAATCTAGTCATTTTTCTTTAATAGACCACTAGACATCTGTTAAATCAGACAGATGTTTCGTAGAAGTATGGCACTCCTAAGCAGTGCCCATCCACGACCTCGGAAATGGGAATCGAACTTATGACCTCCGGTGCCGCGCGAACGCTTAACCTTCGAACGAATGAGCCATGATCCAGTGGTGCACAAGTCCAACTTCAATCGGTCCACGATACTCCAGAGTCATCTTCCATTGTCTTTAGTGAGTAACTTTCACACACCCGACACGTTTGAACTTGACTGATCACAGCTCGCTAGAACTGGGTCAGAGAAGTCCCATATTAAGATAACGACCGTCCAACGCTTCTACGCTTTAATGCCTATCTAACTTAAATCGGTTTGTGGTTTCAATAGGGTATTCGTTTGTTTATTTATTATGTACCTCCTGATAAGTCTTGTTAATTTGAACGCTTTGTTCGGTTCCTAAGCTATTCTGGTAACAAGCAAGCTAAAACTACGCAGCGACCTGAATTCGAGAGAAAAGGCGCAAAATAAGCGAAAAACACTTTACTCCAAAGGTTCATTTTTGTACAGAAAAACACGGGTATTTAGAGATGTTAACATTTATTAAACCGACATCATATTTTGGCCAATCAGCTAAAGGACATATTATGCTACTGACCAATAGTAGCACGGCACGTTTATATTCTAGAGAGCTCCATCATGCTCTGACTGGCTAGGACTCTTCGTTGCAGTTTTCGGAAAGCCGACTCAACACCACCATAATTAAATACTTTAACTATCGTTTTACAATCAATGGCAAAGTAAATAGTTGTTGAAGTATTTAACTAGTAAGTCATTACCCCTAAAGAAAAATCAAAAAGATGAGGCCTATGTTAATTCACTGTGAGTAAAACGATTATGACCTCATCAGATTTATTCACTAATTAAAGACTACCAACATAAGTACTTTACCGAATTTAAAAAAAATTGGTATACTCGGTTTTAAGTTGGAACCAGATTACTTTACTCGATTAACAGAAACACAACTAACCTCTAATTTCCAATTCCTAGGTGCTAGTGAGTGTTCTAAAGCATCAGCTCGTCTTAAATAAGCTAAAGTATATGCAGTCGGTATTAATTGTAAACCTAAATCAATTGCTATCCAAGCATGAGTTTCATTCTCCATGATATTAACCGTAGAAAATGAAGTATAACTTGATTTCTGATCTGACATCGATTTTTTGCCTCGACTTTCATTTTGACTAGATCCATTAGAACAATTCATACGTTTCGGTTTAACTACCACTCCTATTCCACTACCTCTGATTGTATAACCACCAACTAGAGCTCCTGCTTGAGGTCCTAATATTGAAACTGCTCTACCTTTAACAGGACTACTTGTTGACGCAGCTATACTAACCAATCCAACAACAGCTGGATTAATCCAATCTTCTAAAGGACGACGATTACCATTAGTTGCAAGCCAGTCGATTATACCACCAAGATAATCAGCTGAACTATTTCCAGGTGGAGGTGCAGGAAAGTACAACCCGGCGGTAGAATTAAAACTGTTTGCTAAATGAATTTGACTCCATAAACTAAGATCAAGGCGCGAACATTCATACCTAACAAACAGGTAAACAATTAAAAACCTATATTAGACCTCGAAAATACGAAAAATATATATTAAAAAAATATAGATGGATGGTGACTAGCAGTGGAATCCAGGATGTGCGTTTTATCTTATTTGGGACTCGTCAACTGGTTGTACCTGCATTCCAGAGTTGATGTTGACCTTGCAACTCAAACAGTAAAAAAAAGTGGCTGACCAATCGCAGTCTTAAACATCAATAGAAAGATTTAAATATCCAATACAGATTTTTTTAAATCAGTTTAGAAAATTACTCGAAAATCGATATGTCACGAACGTTTTTACAACAAATCAAATGATCGCTATCACACGACATTAATATTGAACAGCAATAAACTACGAAGTATTTTCGTGAAAAAAGACTATTCGTAAAAAGAATTGCTTAAATTAATATATTCCAATATTCTCTTGTTACCACTCTGCAATGGCAAATAAACGAAAATGCCTAATATATTTATTACAATATCACTACTCCTGATCTGAAACATTATACTAAACAATATGAAAGTCAATAACAGATGATACCCAGTGTACTTCACTAATCAATACCATTTGTAAACAGTAGAGTATTTTGGATTAAATATCAAAGAGCTCTATTGATGTATAGGCCACAGTGTTATCAATGGCTATTAACTAATATTTATCGTACTAAAGATAGAGAACAAAAGAATATGAAATTGTTATTATCATTACTACACAATATTCTTAACCCAATACACAGTGTGATTTGCAGTCCTGGTAATAATATAATAATAATAATAATGAGCAATAAAATAGTAAATAATACTTCAAAAACGAAACTTCACTTTACAAGTGCGATCTGACAGATTATAAACTAAGAGCATCGAGAATAAAGTAAACAGTAGGAGAACTGAATGTAGATAAAGCACCCAACTTTTGGACATTCACAAAACAGATTGCAAAGCCATTCAACCTGCTACTTCAGTTCTAGCAGTCAGGTACTGTAGCAACCGTAAAGGCAGCATTGTGGCAAGTACTGTTAGTTTGAAGAAAACACCAAACTGCCTCCATATTCCTGTACAGTTAACAGTACAACATTGACCTCGAACAAAACGTTTAATACTTTCAATCTTACGGCTCTTCAACTGACTTGTATGGTATGGTAAGACTTACAGGAACGAATGTTCCAGACAATATAGCTCGGTTTGGTCATCACGATAACGGCTACGGTCAACAAAATGTAGCGAAATTTAAATCAGGACGGTTACACACCACCCAGTAAATTCTCAGTAGCAAGATATTGAGTATCGTCATCCTTCATAATATACACACACAAGTTCTAATCTAGTAAGTAACTGTGCGTATAGTTTGTCACCATCATTTAACTAAAATCTACATCACAACTACATAATTCTACCAAAAATATATGTAAATACATAAATCAATTAGCTTACCATTGTTTTGTTGACATACGATTAAGGAAACGTTCTAACTGGCCAACAGTCGCTAAAGGGCTTACAAAAAGCAATTTACCACGCCAATTATATAATCGTTTCGATTTATTATGATGTAGTTTATTCTCTGTAGTAGTACTATCGCTATTATTACTCTTCAACTTGACAGCTGATGGTAGGTTTGATAATTTATCCAAATATAAAGGTAGACGTTTAGCAATTTGATGCAGACTAGGCATAAAACATGAATCAAATTCTGGATAATCCAAGAGAATAGGACAAAACGTAGCAGAGCAGCTAATTCTTTAGCATCCATACTATCTTGAAATGGTTGTTTAACAGTGATAGAAACTGGATCACCATGATCTGTATAAATGCCTGAATGCCAACGATTAAATGAGAAATTAATAAAATTAATTGGCAAAGATGCAGAATAACCGATTTTATTTATTAAATTAGTGGGAGGAATATAATTTTTGTTTGTGTTTTTAACTGTTTTATTATCATCATTTATATTATTCCTGTCTAGTTTGTGATTTGATATGTCATGATGATCTGATGGAGTATTTGTAAATGATGATCGTAACAGATGAGCTGCAGAAAATAATCGTAATGGAAGATGTTCTGTTAATTCAAAAGCTTGTACTAAACGTCTAACAAGAAGTGATATACTTTTTGACTTGGAATATGATAACATATTTAGTATAAATACTCTTCTCCTCTCTTGAAGATACCACAATAAAGTTGTTGTATTATCCAATTCCATAGAAAATATCTATATGTAGATAAAATAACGAAATACACCAGATAATATATGGATGAAAACCAAAATACATTAATGAACAAGAGAAATACAATACGATCGAGAAAAATATTCTGACCCAATAGCCTAAAAGTATTTTACTCCTTGCAATATTTACAAATCTTCAAGTTCGATATTACGTAATGTTGTGGATGTGTATTACTGAGTGAACTTTGATTATAACAAAATAGTTGTTCAAGTCTCCATAGTTTTCAATAGCTTTCCAGATTATATTAGTTCATGTGATAAATAATAACTCTTAAACTATGCGATTTTCCACAAAACATAGAAAAGAATCCTCTTAAAATATTTTCTTCGAACAATAATTAAGTTGATCTCGAAAATCAAATCATTCAAAAAAGATGTAATTCCATATATATAAATAGATCGATTGGCCGTCGCATGACTAAGGCATTCTACTTCCAACCACTAAGTTGCATGTTTAAACTCTTCTTTTACCTATTTCAGTTAAGATAGCCACGTAGTATCATTAGCTCTTATACTTAAACTACAGTTTGAAGCTAAATACATATATTTGTACATATTAACTCATTTGAGTTCTTAATAATGTGCATACAAACAAAAAGATAAACAATGATAAACTTACATGACAATACCAACGACCGGCATGTGCAACAGACAAGCATAATAATAAAACTTTTATTAAACCACTTGTAGTTAATTCATAAGCTGTAATTGTTTGTTCACCTTCATTTAATAGATTGGATAAATTTTTAAAAACAATAAATAATTTATTCAATGTTTCATTGAATGAATAATCTTTATCTGTTTTAAATATATCCCATATTTGCATAACTATTAGTTTAATTCTATTTAATGCATTAATTGGTCCAATTTTATCAATAATCCCTGACAATGATGATGGTGATGGTAATGAGGATGATGACGATGTTATTGATAATGATGTATAATTAGTTGAAGATAAATATGAATCAATTTGTAATCTCTCTAATAATTGATTAGCTAAGGTTAACATATGTTTTCTTATGAGAATAAGACGTTCAGTGGTTAATTCAGATCGTGAATCATCACTATTACATAAGTAAAATAGAAAGAGAAAAAGGATATAAAATGAAGAAAACAAGAAATAAATTTTTGAAACTTTTTATAGTTTTTATATACTATAGACTATAAAATTACAGAAAGAATAAAAGAGAATTTTTAACGACTCTAATCAATTTCGACCATTATTACTAATACAGACTTCATAACTGAACTGTTCAAATTGTTAGACATTATCTGTATTGCAACATTAATATAAAACACGTTTCTAAGTAAATGGCTCAAATACACACTTTTTGCATGACGGTTAATAATATTACTTAACATTCTCAAATCGAAATAGGTGGAATATCGTCTGAAGCTGAGACCTCATATTGTGAAAAACCAAATCCCTTAACAATTAAATCCCTACTGAAATTTATGATAATACAAACACGTTTGTTGGTGCACAATAATATTAATGCTGATTAACTTTCATAGTTTTGAAGCTATAAATTGACATATTTAACATAAACAAATGATTAATGAGAGATAAATAAGATCTCCAACCTAGCAGTTATTCTTAGCTGACAAATATACATTGATTGGTCACGAAGTAACGACTGATATCATATTTGTTGTCATTTAGTGCTGATCAGACTCTATCAATAAAGTTATAATGTGACAAATAGTCTAAGTGACTCGACATTATATTTACAATGTTTCAATGTTAGGTAGCTGAGGTTAGTCCTAGGAAACTGTGGACCTAGATATTTTGCGGATTGGCACATGTAACCAAGATATACCTTCAATACAACTTGTAAACTTTATGTTCACGATTTTGTTAAGTTGCAGGACATATCAGTAACTTTTAAAACAAGCAAAGACGACAGTTAAACACCAAAAAATCATTAGTAATAACTACGTTCTATGATCTAACACATCTCGATAGTCCACAAAAACTTCAGATATTCACCAAACCCACAGAGGTTTTAGAGCCTAAAACTAATCAGTTGTTTTAAAAAGCATAACATTAAAATAAATAGCAGTGGTTTGAACATCCTGAGCAATAAAAAAAAACAACCAAAGACTATAATAGAGTAAAATAAACTTGAAAAAAATTGTACCTGATACTACCAAATTTACGTGCAACTCATTTTGTTTGTACAAACCTGATTAGCAGGTCATTTACAAACCTATAATACTAGGTTGTACTATTTCTCATATAAATAGTGGGGTGTAAGTTTACTATATAGACGTATGTACATGCTTCGTCTGTAAACGTCTATTATTTTACACATGGTTTGTTTTCACATATAACCTGATTCACAGTTAACTCATTAAGTTGGCTGGTGTGACAAAGTCCAAATCACACGCTCTCTGCCCTCCTACTGTAAAGAAGGCAATAAGTAGAAGGGAATCTATATTTTTGAGAGAAGTTACAAGGAATTAACATAATGCATACGCATAGCCTTCAATCATTCATTTCCATCTTTCGGTGTGTTCTGAGATCTGAACTGTCTTCTCGTCTAGTCTCCAAGTGTTCTGCTTATTTCATTTGGTTTTCTTATTCAACAAGTTTGGATGAGCTACAATCGTTTATTGATAGCAAACATATGTAGATAACTTCAAATGATTAAAATGCAATCTCTAGTGAAAAAGATATTTTCTCAATGAAACAGTCATCCACTTACTGAAGGGAAAAACGTTCAAAATGGTAGATATTGCACTTATATAGAACATTGGAAAAGGATTGTTATCCTAATACATAATGAAATTAGAACGCAGTTGTAAAATCCACTTACTCTTCTGTACGCAACAAAACAACCAATTGCCCACTATTATATGTTTCATGGATAATTTCATTAGGAAAAAATAATTTATCAATTCTCGACAATTCCATATTAGTTGCAGTTGTAAGCAATTGATCAGTTTTACTAAATTTATGATCGCCATCATTATCGTTTTCATCATCGATAAAATCAGTTGTATTATTATTTTCAGTAGGTGTTTCAAATGATGTTGTATCACATAAATTTAAATAATCCATACCTATATTCAGTGTATCTGAATTGATCAAAGAGTCAAAATCGAAGATTTCCGGTATACTCTGAGAATAAATAGAAGTGCTACATACAGTAGGAGTGGTAATATTGGCATTGACACTACTACTATTACTACGATTAATAGTAGCAGTGGAAGAAGTGGTAGCACTAGTAATAAAAGGTGTATCGGACATAGTCGGTGGTAGATCAAGTTGTGAAAACATACTTATGAAACTTCTTGAATGTCGTTTAGTTGAATTTACAATACATTGGGATTAGTTTGCGTTTTTGATTCTGTATTGTTAGACTCTGTATTTGTATTGACAGATGAAACTGGTTTTTCTTGACTAATCGAAGCAATACGTACACGTTTGAAACCACTACAAGAGTTCTCAGAAAACAACAACGCTTCATTGAAAAAGGATTTTGAATTACAGACTGTAGGTGCGCGTGGTTTTACAGAAACATATGTTCCATCTTTTCGTTTCAACAAGCTACAAATTATTGAACCAAAAGACACCGAAGTAGTTGAAGTTAAAAGACCAATACTCCCAGTGGGATTAGACTGAATTGGAATTCTTGTTGAAAATCTCGAAGTAATGCAAACACGAGCTGGTGATGAAGCTTGGCGTTGAAGCTTAGATGTATGACCTCCCATTGTTGTAGCTGCTAAATTGATAGAAATAGGATCATGACGCAGACCTAGGCGTCTACGAAAACGTCGTGCATTATTATGTGAAGCTTCTAAATTAGATAAACTAGAATGAGTTAGCATATTTAATTGCGTTTGTTTTTTCACAGAATCTAGTTGATTTATTTGATCTCTACCTTCATCATTCTCTGTAGTTTGTGCAGTTTCAGTATCAACATCTTTAAACAATGGTGTAATAGTGATATTACTATCAATAAGCTCCATTAAATGTTGATGCATGCGAAGCATTCGTGATTTCAAACCTAGAAATTTTAGAAACAATTGCGGTATTCAAAAAGAGACACATTAAAATGAATTAAAGGAAATCTTGTATGAATTTTATCTATACAATATGAATTTCTACCACACTGAATAGGCTAAACTATTAACATATTGGTTGTTTTTGGAATAAAAAGAATTAGTGTGAAATATGTATCGAATAAACCTAGAAGCTTTTATTAAATTGAGATAATGACTCGTAGTGGAATCAAGGATGTGAGTTTTGTTCTACTTACAACTCGTCAAATGATTGTGCTTGCCATCACAAATCACATTTGTACATGATGCACAAGCCACCGGCCGTCTAAACTCAGTTGTTCATTTGATAACTCAGCGTTTAGGATGAAATGTAGCGGATCTCGAGTCTAAGAGAACATCAACACAGAGATGAGTTCAGAACAGGGTGAAACGCACGTCTCAGACTTCACTGTTAGCCACTATCATAATTTAATAACAACTTGTGACCAAACAGAATTATCAAAGCACTCCGATGAGAATAAATATATACCAACCGAGATTGATTAATTGTGGTCTATAACATCAGCAACCGGAAAATACAAACTCTTAAAATTAAAATCTTCAGATCAAACTAATAGAATAAAGACTTATTAAATACACTGACTAGTTACACAAACTCAAATGGGAAAAAAATGTTGAAATCCAAGATGAAATGGTTGGAAAATCCAGTGACTAAACTGATACATTAGTGTCATTCATAAAGAATAAATGAATCGAAGACCAATATAAATTTAGCTAAATACCAACTGGACACGTTTTTGAGAATCAAGAAGTCGTACAGTAGATCTAAATATTTTACAAATGAATATGATTCTCTATACTGCAACGCAGCAGTAATCAGGGTGAAAAATCTACATCAATATTTACTGGATAAAATGTAGCTTAGCATTATAATATGAATTAACTATCCTACTCCTTGTAAATTAAAACAGATAACTTATACTGAGGACATTAAATAAATCGAATGCTCAATAAATATTTAGATTTATTTTCTAAACATTTAGGCAACAAAAATTTTATCTTTTTTAAAAAATAATCTTCACTTGTGATAATAATATTTGTGTCAAATATGAAGGAATTGTAACTCGGAGGTTAGTTGATGTAAAGAAAATAAAGATATTTACAGAATTACAGGCGGTCTTGTAATTCTACGGCAATCGAGAAAAGATGCTGAAATCGGTAATAACTGAGAATTATTCAATCAAATTTAGGAAAAGTAAAGTGGGTTGCCTTCTGGGACTTTCTCGAAAGTTTCCAAAAAAAGGATGAATGGTCGAAGTACTTTTTTAAGATTTCCCTGCACATTTCTAAAGATCTTTTAGAAAACTTATGGACAATTTTCAACAAAAACTATACGAACTCTTAACAAAACTACTTTAGTAGACAATTTTTTGTTTCCAAAAATCTCAATTTTCACGGTGAATTTCTACATTCATAATCGGGATGATTAAAAGTGATATATATTCGTCAAGTGTTACACGAACGAATATACTGAAAAATACTTCCGAAATCTTTCTCCTAAATTGGGAAGTAAATAATAGTGAGTAAAACCATGAATAATAATAATAAACAGTAACAGAAGTTAAAGGGTCAAAGGAAAAAAATCGAATATCATATTGCTATTTTTAGTAGTGAAATCCTAATTCAATTAAGAGATGAAAAACTTCCATTTTAGCTATCATTCGGTTATATCACCATTGAACATGGTTAGTAGAAGGTATTACTTATGCATTATCATAAGACACATCCTCATACACATTTCGAAAGCGCTCTTTAAGTAGTCAGTGCTTAATTTACATCACATTCGTTGAAAGTATTGTTTAGTGCATTAATTAGACTTACTAGGACGTGAAAATGGATTTTCACCGGGATGTAACTGAATTGGTACTGGACTGTTTCTATGTGTAGAATTATGAATACATAGTACACGTAAACCACCATCTTCTGGTTGTAATTGTATTGTAATAAAAGCGAATCCATTGAAAATTGATAATAATTGACCCATACAGAAAAAATACCATCCATTCCAATTGTAAAGTTGTGCATCTAAGTGGACACGTTCAGATGTCTGAAAAGTAATAATAATAATAATAATAATAATAATAATAATAATAACAAACCGAACCGGTTGAAACGGACTTTTAAGGGAACTTGACAAACTCTTAACATATTCAACCAATCAAAATACAGTAAATATAGATGAATGATTTATGATTAGAATTTAGGTTTAGGAGTAGGATGGAGAGCTTGTGAATAATAGTTAGCATTTACGACTTTAGAATTCACACCAGATATTAAGATTAGTCTGTATCCACCTTAAATCCCAACCTTAATATATTAATCTAACCCTAATTACAAACTACGTCCTAATGCTAAACCCTAATCTTTAACTCAACTCCTAATTACAACTCTAACCCATGATTTTTAACCCTACATCCTAACCCTAAAGTTCAGATTTTAGTCCTGACTCTAAACTCAAGTATCTTATGATAGTAAGTCTAATTATACGCAATACAATCAATGGGTAACAATAACTCCGTGAGATTATCTTTTTACCATCGGCAAACGACATGCTACTTAAAAAATTTCTGCTCTAAAACCTTGAAACGAAATCATATAGTGATAGTGTAATGGATTTACTTCCCATTTAGTTGTTGGGAGTGTGAAATCCTTAAATACGGCGTACGAGGGAGAAAATAAACCTTAAAATTCGTGCACCGATATCAAGAGATTTTAGTTCGGTTAACTCTCAAAGAATTTTCATCGTAGAAAATTGTTCAGAATGAATTTGGTTAATCGACTTTCAGTGAATTTCCAACTGTGTTAAGTCATTCAGCATGAAGTTAGTTAATCGATTTTGAGGTATCTTCATAGTATCCATAAATTCATTTTGGTTTTGTATAGTGAATCACTCAGTTTGATAAAATTTTGCACTTAATAACCATTGAATTAGTTCTTATATATAAATGAATTAACTTGACAGTGATTTAATTATTTTGGTGTCCATCAAGAAACGTTCCTAGATAAACTTGAGCTTCTCACTCCAGTTATCTGGTAGAGAAGACGAAGATAGAACCAATCTTATTATTATATTGAAGTCCGATTTCTAAATAACTGGTTTAGTTCATAAATGTATCACCAATTCAGTTTTTTTCAGTCATTCGATGTCATACTCATTAGGTATATCAGTATTATGGGGATTGTCAACAATCCACAACACTGAAAATTAATAAAACTCGACAACTGAGTACAGGTCTGTCTATTTGACTCAGAAGAGATCTATAGTATGCATAACAGCTAGTAAGAATAACCAAATGGCCAAAATAATTCAATTCAACAGGCTGGATAAATAAAGTAAATAGATATCAACTTTTAGGTTGCAGATTCATGCCCTGTTTAGATTAAGTTGAGGTCTCAACAATTGAAGAGTAACATCAACCAGAACTGAGACAAAAACTATCACACAAATCCAAGTGTGCAAATATGTATTAATTACATTAATTCTAAAAAAAATGCTCATTATTACTCCAGATAAAACACTTAGCACATGTTACTTTATCTACAACACGTAAACATCTGGGTACAATGAGGCACTGGAAATGCCCTAACATGTGATATATATATATTACCATTGGGTTTTGACCTTAATAGGATTTAACATTATATGTAAACTACTAAATAACATATAATGTTGATATAGAACATGATGTATTTCATTGCAGTGTATAAACAATCTCTATTTGAAAGATCAAAAGTTGTTTGTTTGCTTTAACCAACTAAGTTTGTTTTGATTTCTTCCTTTAAATTTCCTTTTTAGTTCAGTGGAGGAAGAGTTAAACAGTTTTACCAAACAAATAACTAAACATAATTAGAAAGCGTTCAGATCATATGATTTTATATTGAAGTGGAAATAATCTGTTAATAGTACATAAAAATGAAACATATTTCACTGTTCTTTGACTGATACCTGACAAAAGTGATTTCTAACACTAAATTGTCAACTAGCAGGTTATTTATGATTTTTAAGAACAATTAATGTTTAGATAACACCTGCATAATAAAGGCCAAACAAATTTTAACCGAGATAAACAATTGACAAAGAATAAAATAAGACTTTTGGTGCATAAAATAAACACATCAATGAACAAATAGCCTCTATCTACTTGAAACGGATAACCCATATCCTAAATTGTTGATGCACATAGGATTCCCCAGAAGATTGTTCAAATGTCTTAACTGAGAATGAGCTTCTACACATTGAATCAAGTGAAATGACATATATAGCTTGACCAAATCGTAATTAGTAGCGTTCGTAAGTAGTCGATCAGCTTTCCCTGACACATAAGTGGAAAACACTTCAAAAAGATTGGTCGCAACTTGTGTTTCAAAAGCCAATGCGCTATTCACTAAACAACTGAGTGTAGATAACCACTTACTTGTTTAATACCTATGATATTTAAATTCTTATTAATAAGTTTTGAATTACCCCTTTGTTGATATCTAGGGCTAAGTTTTGATCAGTCTTTGTTAGTATATATGTATCCAGTGTGACAACAATCGAATAATTCAGTGCTGATTATACTATTCAAAAGGTTACACACACATAGGGCGGAACAAAAAAACACTATGCTCTAGCTTATTGATGCGATTACTTGTAAATGTGAAAACTAAGCATAATCATTAAGGGTGCAGCTACACAACAACCACACGACACAACAATACTGACCATAAAACGATGAAAATACTAACAAAAGGAAACAGAAAAAAGTACACCCATACATTTTTATTTTTTATAATGAATACAGGTTGATTATTAACTAATCAATACATGAATATTTTCCAATGAATTTTCCTATAGTTAAATACAACATGAAAAACGTTTTCGTGGTCATGTGACAAGCTTGACTGTTGCATTGGTAAATAACATGATGTTTATGCATCCATCACGCATTTATGATCAATCGTGATAAATTTTTTAGTAGACAATATTTAAATAGTTGCATACTGAAACTAAACAAATTGACAAGATGTAATATCCCGATATTAAACGCTTTTATACATATAGGTATTTAATAAGAAAAGGAGAATTCAGCTGAATTCTATGGGTTATTTTAATTATATAGATATTTCTTTTATTATAGTAATAAACAATAGAAACTCATTCTTGTTTGTACCGTGATAACGACTAACTAACTTAATAATTTCACAATGCTTTAACAGAATACTAAGTTAAACAATAATTCATATTTATTAACCACTACCTAATGAGCATCATGTTACTGTATATTACAGAACTATGAAAGAAAGTGAGAAAGCAGCAGAAAGATAAATATCAAATTGATTTCTTAAGTTATACTTATTTAACCTGTTTATTTTGAATTTAACAAACTTCAAGTGAATAAAACTTACAGAATTAGACGGTAAAACTGGTTGGTGCTGTTGTTCTTCATCTTCATTTGCTGGTGTAGACAAAATTTCAGGCATGTAATTTTTGCTTTCATTCAAATTGACATTCAACTCATCATGAACTCTTTGTTTCTCAATATTTTTAACTGATTTCGATTTGTTTTCTTTGTCAGTTACTAACGTATTCTTTAATGACAATTCTTCTATTACTTCCTTTGTTTTTGCACTTGTAGTAGTAGTAGTAGTAGTCGAGGGAGAAATAGTTAGTTTTATTGATGCTGGGACAGTAGTAGGAATTGTGGAAGTCATTACGGTAGTAGTACTTGTTGTATCAGTGGTTATCTTTGTCACAGAAGCTGTGCACACATCTTTTCCCTCATTTTCGTCTGATGATGATGGCACGGATAACTGCTGTCCAGTATTAGTAGTGGACGTAGCGACGGTGGTCACGGTGACGCCAGATTTATTTTCCGTTATTAACAAATGATGTAATATATCAATGATAATTTGTATCAATGGAATTAAGCCCAAGCGATAGAATACCAAAATGTAAATATGTGGTGTTTTATTCAATAAACGGAGACTTAATTCTAATGCACGTGAAATTAATTCTTCTCGTTCCTGGAAAAAGATGGCGAAAATGAATAAAACAAAAGAAGAAATGGTTATTTTATGTAAACAGTTATGTGATTATTCACTGAGTAAAGAGATACTAAACTCAGGTATGTCTAAATAACATAAAACTTGGCAAAAATTATGTATCGGTCACACAGCTGAAAATTTGCAATAAAAAATAAAAGCTGAATACACTTGCTCCACTTCAATTTGGAACCATGTCAGTTAACATCATCAAACCATAGATTACGAGAATTGCGCAGATCATAACCCGAAAATATGCAACCATGGAAACACAAGTTTAATCAACAATTAATGACTTTATGGACTGATATCATGTCCTCATTTGGTTACTCTAGACTTTCTACCAACCCACTACATTTCATAGTTCTTAAAGAATCTTACCTTCTTCTATACCTATTAAAGTCTAAATAACATAACAATTGAATTCTATGGTTCATAATTAAATGGATTACATGTGAATATCGTTGAAGGATAGGATGAGGTAAATGAAAATTAATGCAAAGCAGTAATTTTGCATCAATATGACTTCTGTCAGTCGACTAATAGTACTAATAGTTCTACTAATTGTACCATGATAATGGACAATTATGATGAGGGTTGTAGTCAGTTCAGTTCAAATCCTATCTAAGAAGTTATCTATCGGACGTTATTAGTTATAACCTATCTCCCATACAGTTATCTAGTACAGATTTATATACTCGGTTCTCCGCTAAGCTGTTTGTATGAAGGTTTGGTGATACTACGTAATTTGATCTGAGTTAGCCCGATAGAAGTGGATTCGAACGTGTGACCTAAATGGTCAAAATCCCAGTATATAAAGAGAAATAACAGTGGATCATATCAGTTTATAGTGCTATTAGTAAAATAACAACAAAAAACGACCAACTGCAACGTTTGTACTGACAAAAGTAAAAAAAAAAGTGGGTAAAAAGACAAATCAAACAACCTACTTCGATTAATATTGTATAAATCATTTGTGTTAATGAAAATGCGAATGGAACTGATTGATTATCCATCAAACTAATTTTTTCTAAGTGATCAGGTCGCATATACTGAATCATACGCCAAACTAAAAGTGTACACTGGTGCCTGTGAACAAATGATAATAAAAAGAATGAAAATATTGGAGTATAAAGTTTACTTTACATATGTAATTTATTTAATAAAGGGAAAATGTAAAATTCAAACTCATTTGAAATGTAATACTTAGTCGAATATTAACATAGCACTTTAGATATGACTAGTACTACCACCTAAAATTAAATATAACTCAAATGATCACACTTAAACAGTCTAACCAATATTAAATCCTACGTAGTCATAAGTAAGATCGCTACTTCTTATGAAACACAGTTTGAATTTACATACAAAATGATCATATGTAGTAGAGGAAATATATTATATTCCTCAGTTTACTGGTCATAAGTCAACAGCTAGTCCGATTAGCAACAGAAATTTGAAACTCGACAGTAAGCAACTTATGAGACTATAAATTTGTTCAAACCATCTCCACTCCACTTGGAACCTTACAACAAGCTGTATAACTCAGTAATAAAAGTTATGTGGTTTTGATATGTGGCCACTGAAGGTGTGATTGGCTACTGCATGTGTGCAAAATAGACACTCAGTTTATTAACTATTAGATTCGTAACTTCCTTTCGTATTTTTGATTTCTACTCCAGATCACTGAGTGTGTCTGCTTGTAATTGATTCGGATAAACATTTGTCTAACATATACTCTGTATCTCCATTATTGGTCATGAATTTTGTCTGGTAAAACGTGAACCAGTTTATGCATAGCCGATCGATCGAGTATCCGGTCTAGTGGAAGCATAGTCTCAAACACCGTTTATAAGATTGTATCATAGTAATATACAATATATATTTCAATCCTAATATATCGGGGCTTGGATCAGTTAGTACGTAATAAAATAAATTGTGAAACAAACATATATAAGATAAATTTTTCGCCGACAAGCAGACATTCATACAATTGCCTACCCTAACCAATAGGCAACAGCGGTTATTTATATGATCAACTAGTATAACACTCTTCAATATACTGGTATTACATATTTATTTTAACTGTTTTAAGTCATTTATTATTTTTATTATTAAATCAATACCAAGCACACATAACTTCGAGCCACACCTTAAGTGTGAGGGCAACTGACACGACCCGGTTTCCTAAGATAAAGTGGAGCGAGACGCGAACCTGTAACTAAATGACTGAAAGTCAAACACGTCAAATATTAAAGCGCTCACTCCTTTATCTGTTCGATTGTATACAACAGCAAATATCACTATCTTCTTTTCACTGATCGCTAAATGACACAATTTTGTAAACTTTAGAAAAAAATGACATGGAACCTGTACACTGAAAACATAAAAGAAAGATGGCTTGATGATTGAATTTTTCAAGTTGGAATTATTATACCGTAAATTTTAAATCCTGACTTCATCAGATCCGTTTGGTTTAGGCGAAAGGATAGTATCGCTAACTTTTATACAAAAATATGGCTTGAAATCGTGAACACAAATCTCTACTTGACAGTAATAAAGGATCTAAATTAACATGAGTTGAAATGTAAAAAACAGCGAATAATATTCGTAATGATAATTGAATAATACAATTTTATCAATAAATCGATTCAACAGATTCACTAAGTGAAATGGAGCATTCTTACTTTACAAGAAAAATTTTGTATGAACTACCTTACAGAAGATGTGCTTTCCTTAAACAATCCAACTAGCAATGGAAGAAGTTGATCAATAAATAAACGTTGAGCTTCGACAGAATCATTAGATTGAATCTCATCAGGCTTATGTTGAGTAGACGATGAACCAGGTGTTAGTTGTTTATCAGATTTATTTAACTTGGATGATAAACCCTTGAAACCAGCTCCTAAAAAACGATATATATATATATATATATATATATATATATATATATATATATATATATATATATATATATATATATATATATATATATATATATTTGCAGTACATTATAAATAACGGTGTATTAAGAAGATAACTTCTAATAAAGAATATACCTAGTTTATGAAGACAATCGACTTCATGCTACAAAAATCACTTAAATAAATAAATAGGAATTGTATGCTTACTAAGACAATAATTTTCCCCAATATATCTAAACAAATATACACCTTTTGAGGAATTAAGTATGACCTAAGGTGGTATTGTTATCCGGGACATGAAATACAGTGTAGCACATGAAGAATACCCTTTGATTATAATACTTTGTGCGATAAGATGATCAACTCCCCAGAGTAAACATAATGCCCTTATTTGAAATAAATTGATTGTAGGGAGTGAAATAGTTAGGCGCGCTGACCGCTTCACTTGTCTTAGAAGTCTCATCAGCCTAGATTGGTTGATGTAAGATGAAATCTCGGCATGGATTCAGGAAGCGCAATCGGTTTTTTCCAACTTGAATCACCTGTAGAGGTGAAAAGTCTTCTTGTTAACCAAAGAGTGAGTATACTGCCCAGCAGCCCACTATGCATTACCCTATGGATATAGAAGTAGACGACACAAACTGTAATTCTCTGGTCATGGGTGTCGTGGAATGATTAAGTGAACAGTTTTGAGGTCAGGTATTAAGTAAGGATAGCAAGTCGGTCGACGGAGTAGTGAGATGTATTACTTATGTCTAACCACTGCCTGCCCTGGTTTACAAAGTTGGTTGGCGTGGGAATAGTTTACAGGAAAGTTAGTTTGGAGTAAAATCAAATGTCACATCAGTCAATCAACCGCTATACTGAGACATGGGGGTAAGTTTAGATGACCTGGTTGGTGTCCACGTGAATATTGTGACCGGTAGTTGGGTGACATGGTTCAGAATCAGTTGTAATGACCCAGATGCACATATTTTTTTACCTTCTCCTCTTGAATCCTGAGTTTCAAAATTATTTCACATCTTTTACTCTGGAAATTCACTTATTCTCCTTGAATTATATTGTCTATCAGAAATATTTATTCACTATCACTGATACTGCTAATAGATCTACCACACTAGTATTCAGCTTGATAACTTCATATCTTTGTGTTGTCGTGATCTAGTAACTTGGACTACGGCAAATACGTGCCAAGTTTTGAATATAAATGAAACAATATTCGGTTGAAATTATTTTCTCCAGTTAGTGCAATCCACATATCCGTATATGTCTGAAATCTTTTACGATCATAAGTAAACGACTGGATTCTATGTTGAGTGAATAAGACAAGGTTGATCCAAAACCCTTAATTGTGTCACTAATTACTTTGTTTTTTCAAATTTGTATAGCTATATGTGTTCAAAAGTGACAATATCAAACAAACTAACTATATTTTGTACAGAACCAAAGTATATTGTGATCCTGTTTTAGAAAATATACTCTTATTCACAAACATCATTAATATGAAAAAGTTTGATCACACATTCAACTATGAAAATGTTTACATGGAAACAGAGCAAATAAAATCAGTATCACTGAAAAATTCATTCACTTTTTGACTCGGATTCCAATAAATCGATTACTTGTTGTGAACCAGGAAAATCAGGATGTTCTCGAGCCCTATCTATGGGTTTTCTACCTTGTACATCTTGTTTGTTAATATCAGCGCCCCAATTAAGTAAAGTTTTGCATATTTCAACACGCCCAAATGAAGCTGCATAATCTAAAGGTGTACGAACACCTAAGTTCACATTCGCACCATGTGTACATAAAAGTTCAACCATAACCGGAGAACCGAATGATGCAGCCCAATTTAGCAAAGTTTGTCCTAAATGATCCATGTAATTGACATCAATTTTGCCCGACTTTAAACTGCGTTTCATAAAATCTAAAAGAATTTGACAGAATTTCAGCGTGATTAGATTGACGAAAATATTGAGTTAATATTTTTTATCTTTAGTGAGGTAATTGAAAATATTTCTTCCGAAACTTTTAAAACTAATTGTACTCACGAATGAATAACTACAAAGATGGGTTTCGCAAAGTTCCATAGAAAATACATAACCAGTGGAGTGAGCTAGTAATTCATTGATGACATTACAAGAAAACTGTCTCATATTACACGACGACTGAAGTTGGCTGCATTGTAATGGTGTTTGCTGTGAGATACTAGGGTTCTAATTTCAATCTTATATTACTAAGCTGTGGATGAAGAGTCCCTTTGATAAATTTCGATAGTGTAATAAGAAGACGAAGATTATCAGAACTATGTGATATATTTGCGCAATACATTTCGAACAATCTGATCACACATATACTTGTTAAGAACATTTATATATAAAAATAAAAGGTTAAATAGACTAAAAATGGAGGGTAAGAGGAAACAAGGATAATTAAAAAATAATGTGAAAACAGTTTGAAACCCCATCACTCTGGATAATAAACTAATATTACCCTGGCAATATTAGCTTATTATTATATTAAACAGTTTGACAATCTTCTTTTTCTTATTACACTATCGAAAAAAAGACTTGTTAAGTAGTCCCTGACTTTCAATGGTCGCCCAGTTGACAACAGTATAATGGAGACCACCTTGCAATATAACCGCATACCTTGAAATTCCCAAGTACAGGTCATACTGTTAGTTATTAGTATTAGAGGCTTGTAAAGATCGTTGAATTTCACATCAAAAATGACCTTAGTTAGACAACTGATGAAAATCAGAAAGCAGTAGACAGTCCCACTGTGATCAGAGGTGTTCCAATATTTTGGATGTGAGGCGGTTATCCATCGATGACACTGGAAGATAGTTGTCCAACACAACGAACTGATAGAAAATAGAAATGCGAACCACTGGTTTAAAGGTTAAGCACTCCAAGAGAGAAGTGGAGACCCAGAGTTCGATCCCCAGTTGAGCCAAGGATGCTCATTGCCGAAAAAACCTAAATACTTGGAGAAAGTCCTCAGGTGCTTCCCAACTTCAACTGTTATCCAACTAAGCACAGTTTGTTATGAAGACTACAGTCGTTAGTAATTTCCTCGTGAAATCTTGATACTGTTTTCAAACTATAGTCGGTGAAACAAGACTGATTAACTTTCGAGCGAACAACTTATGGTATGCTATACATTATTTGGATAAAGTCAATCAAGTCGCTAAAAGTATATTCTACTGTGTAAATGTTTCTCCAACTGCAGCGACAACCATCATAATAAATTAGAAAACATTCATTTTATGAAACATTAAAACATATGAAGTAAAATATTAAAAAACCCTCATGAATTTCGATAAAAATTGAAATACTATACCCAAATCCTGTCGTTTTATAGCCTCAATAAAATGACGGTGTATAGCATCGCCTTCCCAAGAATGCTGGGACTCTAGAGGAGCTTCAATAGTATGTTCAGATTGTGAAGTATTCTGTGAATTTTCCGCATGTTCGATAATTGATATAGAAGTTTGAAATTGATTTGATTTAAACAACTGGCTTTGCATTTGACTTTGTTTTGAAGTATCATCTTTGACAGCGTCTGGTAAAGTAGCTTTACGAACTTCTTTTATTTGCGATGATTCACGTGATTTCAATTGAACATTTTGAGTTTGATATAGTAGTACCAAGAGAATTTCAATTAGTCGCAGTACACTAAGAACAACTAATTCATCCGTGCTACGTTGAACAACCATTGCCAATGTCATAGCAAACTGTCCATCACTAGTTAGAAGTTTATGTGTTATACTCACAGAATTACAGCAAAGTGAAGTTAGGATATTAGTGACTGCATGAACTGCAACTGGATTACTTTCCGATGTGACTGAAGAAAAGCCATCACGACCACTCCCTGATGTGTCTGTTGACAAATCTGCAATGCAAAAGTCACATATCAAAAGCAGAGTGAAACGTTTATGCTGGAAAGAATGTTTTATATTTGAAAAATAAGTAATTCAACAGTCCACGCTCATAAGTGGTTTCAAATGATAGTGTTCACATTTCACTTCATGGTGGATAATGTCTTCAAATCAAACAGTTCCTATGGTTCAGAACCTTGGAAGATTCATGCCCCCGAATGCCCTATTACGGCCGAGAGTGGGAAGAGTTCGCTCTCCCTCTCGAAATGCTCTCACACGACCACGTGTATATAGCCTCTGCCAGGGAAGTCCTACTCACTGTCTTCTAGTGGCGGGGATGTTGTTTACGGAATTGAGAGGACGAAAAGCGAATGTCCAGCGCTTTAACCGGTTGATGAACACGGAGAGTTCACCTAAAGGAGTTGAAAAACCCTGATTCCAAACCAATGGTGCACATGGGCTCCAGTACTCCGAGGGAACAAATGGTGTATGAACCATTCGTTGGTCACCGGCTACCATGGGACTGCATCTCCTTACGATGCTCCACTGTCTTGTGGATCAGACCTATAGGTCGAAGGCTCCGGGTGTGGTTCCCTAAGAAAACCACCTGCTTCAGTTTGGGCACCCAGACAGTATCACAGCCCTCACACAAATCACATGAGATTTGTGTGGCGCATATTTATCTGGTGCCCCCTTGCACCAGTATTTATGCGTTCAAATAAATAATAAATAAATTGGAAGATTCATCCCAAAGAGTGATTAATGGACACACAATTATGAATTATTTAATGTGCTTCATTCACTTAGTACGTATCTAAGATTTCAGATTTCAGACATACTTTTGTGTGAAAACTAGTGTTATTACCCGGCTGCTTAAATCAAATTAGATCAGGCGAGTTTGTAACAACTTACTACTTTCAATGTACAGTTGTGGAGATTATTCAGTTTTACTGAATCGATCAATGTTACACCAACAATGATTAAATAGAAGCATTAGATGGCTATTTCGTTCTAGTATAGGACTCAGTGCGCATCAACGACACCGTAGGCGAGAATCGAACCCAAAACCTTTGGCCTCACGCGCGAACGATTAACCTCTAAGCCACTGAGCCGGCATCCAACGGTGTTAATGTCTAACTTCAATCAACAACTTATTGGTCAAGAGCTACTAAATTGATGTCCTACAGAATAATGATTTTGTGCAACTTGTTTCACAGTGCACCACTTCATTTACTTTTGATCAGTTATTCAGCTACAACGTAAGACCAGGCACATACATCCATCGGTTCAAATTACCACACCTCAACACAACATGAACATTGAATTCATAGAAGTCATCACTTCAATGGTAGTAATATATAAAAGAAAGATTGTGTATAAGCATGTGGTACAGGAAGGAAGAATTAGTTCGTAGAAAGAAATACAAAGCAATCTTAATCTCACAGTTCAAGGGAATACAAAGAGTGTATACAACCATGCTATTGGGATTGATTCTGAGTCTCCAACTGTTGGTTACGATAGTCGCGCAGACCCCAACCAAGTAGTCTGCATCTACCAACACAGGTCAGACCAGAAGTTAGTGACTTTAAGGACTGATGTCACGTTTTGATTTGGACGCCGCTAACTCTTTCCATTCATTTTTTTTATATTTAAATGGTTAAAACTAAAATTATTAAATAACTAGAAAACATGTAAGCATAAATCAAAACAAGTTTATTTACTGGGGCCAGATGAATCTGTCAATTCATTATCAGTTTCCACACCACCAGCAACACGAAGACGTTGAAGAAGACAATCAATAATATGAGGATCAGCAAGTGGACTTGGATCAGTACCCGTTCGAGTAAATCGAGCCACCAAATTAGCAAATGCACGTAATGCTTGATCAGCAACACCTGTTTCTCGACGGTCTAAGAGTGAACTCAACGCATCAACCCAACTGGTTACATTCTTGTCTGTTGGGTCTGCTCTGCTAAACAAACGTCTTATAATATCCATCCCAGCCTGCAGAACATCAGCATGAAGCAGATGTGGATAAAGACGTATATAACGTAAAACGGGAGTCAGTCCCCCGGCCATATACACGGCACCAGGCTCTCGTGTACAAATAAGCTGCAACATCTTGAAAGTTTATACACGGTGATTAACAAAATGAGGATAATTTGATAAAAAATACTAATAGTCACATTTCAAATGAAAAAATAATCTAACTTTAAGTTCAAATAGAGAAAGCAAATGTTTTAAATCTTGGTTTATATCTTATTTACTCACTTAGAATACTGAATAAACTGCTATCAAAAATTTCCAATGAATGAAACTGTTGATCACAATATATGTAAAATAAAGAAACTTTGATCGATATTTGAGTAGATTGACATAGTAGCTGGAAATTTAATCTAACCTCGTTGCTAAATAAAACATCAACAATCAGTTTTCAACAAAAGTTAAGCGATCAAAATTCGACCGATTAGCTAAGAGGAAAGTAAGCGATCTGAAACAACTTTGTTTGAATGAGTCTTTATTATGATTGATTGTCTGCACAACAATAATCCTTAGTGTTGTAGGTCCTCGTTACGTAAACAAAGACTACGCGAAAGAAATGCACGATGTGACGAAAATATTCTCAGATTAACATGATACACAACGCGAAGCAGCCTGATTACAGGTTTAATCCAAATAGGTACAAACCAACAGGATAAGCACAGTCTAACAATTTTATTCAGACTTCTATGTACACTAGATCCTGGAAGTGGATAACAATGTCATTATGACTAAATCATGTTGTACATTTTAAGTAACATTAACTCACGAAAGATTCAAAAGAAATATTTACTTTAATAATCTGCTGCCCAAGCTCATTACTCTTCGCAGATGTCATATCAACTGCATCTAATCTAGAAGTCATGGCTGTCAACACATTTGGCGACCGTGCAATCCGTGGGGCACAGTCCAAACTAACATCCAAATAGTAAGTGAGGGCCCGAGCATTTGCCTCCAAAACAGAGTCTGGAGCTAATTCATCCAAAAATATTTTGCATAAGGCGGGTATGAAGAGGCGAGGTGGATAGCGCTCAAAGAAAACATCAACATTGTCCGAGAAAAGAACTTCATTGCACAGTTGTTCCAATGCAGTAAGTTGTAACTCCCTAAGTTCGTCGTTTACGGAGTCCAACCATTCCAGAACTATTGCTGGGTCAGCTTCCATTGAGTCGATTTAGAAGTGACCCTAGGTATAGATTAAAGAAAATACGTAAAAATTATCAATTTTGACAAAAGACATCCTATGAATTCAGAAACGTAAGCAAAATCTAAGAACCAAATACTTGAAATTTACACAAGTTTTCTCGACGTTTTATAGATAGAATGTTTAAGTGGTTGAAAAAAAAGCCTTATATCAAATAATGACAGTTTGTCATTTCAGAGATGAAAATTTTAGATAAGTCAGCCATTTGTCGTTGAAAATTAACACGTTCTTACTGAAACTTGACTACCTAGATAAAGTCATATTAGGGTCTACATTTTACTTGCACATTTCCAAATACGGAGTGTTTAACTACCCTTGACTTACTGTTTTGCCTGTATGAATATTTTTGAGCATTATCAGCGATATCTGATAAAGGTCCAAGTTACTAATTTAGAAACTTTCAAAGTCACGTCCACATGGTGAAGAGGTTAATCCAACACAACCATCCTTCATGCCACAAAGTTGTCTAATTGGAATTCAAACTCAAATAATGTTAGTACTACCAACACTGAAATAGTCAAGATTAGAATACCACCTAAACAAACTGAACATATATACTATCTTTCTAACAAATACCTCAATATCAATAGATTACACCAGCTTTCGAGTTTCAAAAAGGTACAAGTATTTATAAACAGTTGTCTACGCAAGATACTGAATATCTATTGGCCAGAAACCACCAGCAACAGCTGATTGTGGGAGAGAACAAACCGGGTTCCAGCTATAGAGGAAATTAGGAAGAGAAGATGGAAGTGGATGGGATACACATTGAGGATATCATCAAACTGCATCATGAAGTAAGCCCTAACTTGGAATCCTGAAGGGAAGCGGAAAAGAGGAGGGCCGAAGAACACACTACATCGGGAGTCGGAAGCAGACATGAAAAGAATGGATAGCAGCTTGAAAGGATTTCCCAGTACAGGGTTGGATGGGGAGTGCTAGTGGGAGGCCTATGCTCCCCCACGAGGGGTAACAGGCGTAAGTAAGCTGCGAGAGCATTAAAAACTTTATATTCGTGATAAGTCCGGGTTGCAAGCATACGTAGATCAACTACGTCGGTAGTTTAATACACTTTACTCGATGCTTTTAGAATTCATTGTTATACTAACGCGATATAGCGAGGCATATCATGACCCATTAGTAGGATAGTCACTTAGTCTAAGGAAGCGCGAGGAACTCTGAAGCAGCAACCTGATCTCCACCAAAGATTTTCTACAACACTGATGTTTTAGCTAATAAGATAGACATGTTCATAAAAAAGCTCTAGCAGCAAGTTACTAGTGTAAATATCCATTAGGCACATTCATTGACTACGAAAAGGCATTTGATAGTGTGGACAGAACAACACTATGGAAGCTTCTTCGACACTACGGCGTGCCTCAGAAGATAGTCAATATCATACAGAATTCCTATGATGGATTACACTGCAAAATCGTCCATGAAGGACAGTTGACAAAGTCGTTCGAAGTGAAGACCGGTGTTAGGCAAGGTTGCTTACTCTCACCCTTTCTCTTTCTCCTGGTGATCGACTGGATCATGAAGACGTCAACATCTGAAGGGAAGCATGGGACACAATAGACATCTAGGATGCAGTTGGACGATCTAGACTTCGCAGATGATCTGGCTCTTCTATCCCAAACGCAACAACAAATGCAGGAGAAGACGACCAGTGTGGCAGCAGCCTCAGCAGCAATAGGTCTCAATATACACAAAGGGAAAAGCAGGGTTATCCGATACAACACAGAATGCACCAATCCAATCACAACTGACGGAGAAGATTTGGAAGATGTAAAAACCTTTACATATTTGGGCAGCATCATTGATGAACAGGGTGGATCTGATGCAGATGTGAAGGCGCGGATCGGTAAAGCAAGAGCAGTATATTTACAACTGAGGAACATCTGGAATTCAAAGCAACTGTCAACCAACACCAAGGTCAGGATTTTCAATACAAATGTCAAGACAGTTCTACTGTATGGGGCGGAAACCTGGAGAACTACGAAAGCCACCATCCAGAAGATACAGGTGTTTATTAACAGTTGTCTTCGCAAAATACTTCGGATCCGTTGGCCGGACACTATTAGCAACAACGTACTGTGGGAGAGAACAAACCAGATCCCAGCGGAGGAAGAAATCAGGAATAAGCGCTGGAAGTGGATAGGACACACATTGAGGAAAGCACCGAACTGCGTCACAAGACAAGCCCTCACATGGAATCCTTAAGGCCAAACGACAAGAGGAATATCAAAGAACACATTACGCCGAGAAATGGAATAGACATGAGAAAAATGGACAAGAATTGGGTGGAACTAGAAAAGAAGGCCAGGACAGAGTGGGTTGGAGAATGCTGGTCGGCGGCTTATGCTCCATTGGGAGTAACAGGCGTAAGTAAGTAAGTAAGTAAGTAAGTAAGTAAGTCATTCAAATTCCAAGCCAGCGAAAACTGATTTATACAGTTAAGAAAGATACCTAACACGGCACATACAACACGGCAATCCTTGTTGACATCGTTTTTTAAGCGAAATTAAACCTCACCGTTTAACAAACTTTAAATTCTCTAGGGAACTAAAAAAATTATTCATCAACCCAAGTTTTCCGAAGCGCACTGCTATTTGCGCCTCTCTCGAAAACAATAACTTATGTCAATGTAATGTTTTTTTAATTCGTTATCTTGGTGCTTTTAAATCCAATATTACAAACACATACTAATTCGACTTGAATGAAAATTATTGAAATTTTCAATAGCATCCCATGGTTTCACATTATGAGTGAACCTTTTGCAACTAAAAGGCGATTCAAGAAACGAATAATGCAATTGCAGTTATTTGAGTGCGTTTTTCGTCGAAATATGAGTATTACCCGATGAAACCATCTGTACAGTCACACGTTTATTTCACCGTCTATCGAAATTTACAATTAAGAGCATTGAGCACAACAATTTTGACCGCTTTTTACACATAAAGAGTGACCTATTACCTACAAATCCCTGTAATTTCTTAAAACCTATTATCTTACTCATGTAACACAGACACTTGAAGTTACCGCACTTGATCTTATTCAGTCCTCAATTGTTAGTACAGCCCGTCATTCGACCTTCGTAAATCCTTGGAGCTTGTTTTCCAGTGAAGATTCGGCTAATCCCTGACAGTGTATATTAATGTCACTTGTTCAGTCAGGGTGTTTCAGTCATCGACTACTGGAAGGTAGAGTCAAACAGAAAATATGAATGCCAGAAATTTAAGGTGTGTTTGGACTATGAATTCCATGAAATCACATATTTCGCTTGGATTGCTCGTTCATTCAATGGCACGTATCCGGCTTGAATTATCTTTGGACCAATACTAATTCGATCTACAATGCTGTGCTAATTCAAGAATTAAATCAATAATACCTGGTATCTGATCTAAAATCCCTTGTATTTATATTGTATCGAACCAATATCCGCTTAACATAATTATCACACAAAGACAAAAGTAACCCAGGAGAGTTTCGTGGTTAATATGTTTAATAACATTTGGTAGTTACTTCTGAATACAGCAGTCATATATTCCGTCAATCCCTCTAAGTTGTGGTCAGGATGGCACATAAATATGCCTTGTACGTCGCCACTATGAAACATCGTATTGCACGCACACAAACAAACTCAATCTAGTTCTTAACTGGATACTGTAACAACTTGGGTTGATTGGTTAAGAGTTGACCTCAAAGCTCAAGTGTTCATTTGCTTCCTTGTTTTGTTTTGGGATTATATTTACTGTTATTTCATACTGATTGTTAAAAGCTTTGTGTGTTTTAAGAAAAATAACTTTACGCTCCATTGCACCCTTCAAGATTTCAAAATAAAGACCTGTCCACTACAAGTCCGGTTTCTTCTATAGGCACGTGAGGGGTACTCACGGCACGAAAATGGTGATCTCTATTAAATTTCTGTCTCGTTTATTATTTTTCTCGGATTGAAATCATGAGTCAGCTGAAGCTAGACCACCATTGAAATCCTGGAAGCACTGGACGGCCGTTTCGTCCTAGTATGGGACTCCTCAGCAGTGCGCATCCACGATCTCGCGCCCAGGTCTGTTGTGAGATATCAGCACACTGAAGACGATGGTATATGGTGGCGCATCTTCGTGGATTGGTTGAAGTTAGACATTACCACGGTTGGATGCCGTCTCAGTGGTCTAATGGTTACGTGCTCGCGGGCGAAGCCAGTAGGTCCTGGGTTCGAATCCCGCGGGGTGCGGGATCGTGAATGCGCACTGCTGAGGAGTCTCATAGTAGGACGAACCGGCCGTCCAGTGCTTCCAAGTTTTCAGTGGTGGTCTAGCTTCAACTGACTCATGATTTCAATCTGTGAAAATTTCTAAAAAATCTCCACAAACCCCTTCTGATATTATTTTTCTGCTTAGTCGCAAAAGCAAACCCTCTGATCATGTTAAAGAGAGCTTCGTATGTATATATTTATACATATTGGCGTTCTTTGTTGCAAAGTATTCGTGTTGCTGTCATTATTTTGCCCCTTCCTTATGTAATGATGTATTGGTCATATATCACATGTCAGACTCAATCCAAAACGAAAGGCTGGAGGATAAACGTAATTTGACGACAGTAAAAAAACTCAATTGTGACTACGAAATTCCCTAGAATTTGATCTTGGTGACCTCGTGTTGTGGTTTGCTCAACTAGAGCATCATTTCACAAGACAGTATTGAATCTGAAGAAATTCTGAACTTTCAAACCTCATGACGTAGATAAATGCAAAGATGCAAATCGTTTCAGAAATATAAGGCAACACTGATTGTTTTCAACGCACTGACTGCTTGTAGTAGGCGTTCAGTCGCGATTGACCACGATCACCACTACAAGAAGATTACGTACCAGTTATTAGGTTTGATCCCTTCGTAGACCAAAAAACAAAAGGTAAATGACTGTCGTAATAGAATATATTTGTTGGCGATCTGGTGGTA